TTCTTCGAAATCAAAGTGCACCGCTACCGGACCTTGCATGCCTGACGTGGGGAACCCATGTCATCCCCGACCGCGCCACCGCTTCACGCTTCCAACACCAACTTCGCCCAATACCATCAGCGCCCTGCCCGTCCTAAGCTTTACGCGTACAGAACTTTCGCTCGCGCGTGTTGGCCCTCGTGATGGGTAGGGCCATCGTACGACATTAAAATGCGCTTCATACGCGTCGCTCGACCAGCGTAGTCGAATAGTCCACTCACACACAATCCAACTGCATATGAGTCTCGATGTCGACAGCGGGGGTATTCGAGATCGAAAGTAGTGCCCTAAGAGATGGATGTCACGTTATTCCAGATATCGAGAAGCGGGTGTTTACGAGAGCAGATAACAAAAGGACCTTTGCAGAAGTGTCATCATCTCTGGCGACGACGATCAATATCGATGCAGCAGCTGACATATGGAGGCAAGCTTATCTTCTATCGGGGTTTCGAAGACGAAAGGAAAGGGAAAAGTAAGACAAGCTGTCGACGTCAGGCTCAGCGATGATATGGGCTCGTATGTGTGTGGTTTCAACTACTTCATCAGCCTACTCAAGATGCAAAATCGGACAGGCGGACGAGACGTTGTGTTCTTCCAAGTGCCGCAACTGGAGACCGAAGAAGAGATCTGTACAGGTGTCCGAGTGACGGAGGAACTCATCAAGGCACTAGTGGCTGTTTGGCAGCATTAGAGAATAGCTCATGAACCTTCCCCTCTTCCATGCCAATACTTCACCGCGGCCTTTCAAACGGATTTCTCGCAATGGACACATGGCGAGCAGGGATAAACACGTGGGGCTAAATCGGTCGAATGGTGCCTTGGATCTCATGTGCAAGTCTTGAGAGCTTAGCACTGCATCTCCAAGTCGTGGTGTGTCTTCGCGCCGTGAGTTTTAGGGCGTGATGACTAAGCGACGCGCCTTCCAAGGTGCGCTGCCCCTGCCTCGTCCCATCATTCACCAGCGGTTCCGCCTTCGTTCATCCATCATCTCTCATCATCATCGTCAGCGGCGCCATATCTCTACTGATCCTCCTCATGCTGGGCAACGGCTCGGTACTTGGCCGTCTATCACATCCCTTTGCCCGCTCTGCACAACAGGCGTACTTCCTCTTGAATGCAGAAGACCGCCGCACAAGCATCTATCATTCCGCCCGAGGCGCAGTACTGCTGCAATGTTTCAGCCTTCCCGCTCGAATCAATTTGTAGAGACGCAGCCGCGATGCATCTCATACCGATCTATCCGGCTGGGCAAGAATAACGACAAGCCGTCGAAGAGCCTCACATCGCGACGTTGTCTGTCGAAGCATCTTAGACTTACTGATATGTCATTATGCTTTCATTCACTACCAAGAATCATCTTTTGTCATACCCACTTACCTCATATAGTAGAAACATTGGATGTGGAGAAGCTCGACGTCCTTGCATAGGACACAACTGCCAAGCGCGTCAACGCAGGCTAAGGACTTGGCGACTTGGTATCGAGCATGACAACAACACCCACGGAGCAATGGAAGGCAGTATGTGTATGCAATCTCTCGGACTAAGTACTCCTCACCAGATCCAGTGCGTCCTCCGGTCGAATCAAATGCGGCATCCGTGGCATTTCTCAGCACCAAGAGGAGTACTGCTGTGGATCGCAGCATGCACACACCAAACATGACCGTGATCAAGGTCACTTCACTCGATTCACGGTTGTGTATAGTACTAACTCGCTCTGTGCATATCTTTCTCGTGTTCAACCGCAAATTGTTCATCATTCGGCTGTTCAAAGTTGTGCAGAAGCTGTAGGTCCGGACAGGCATTCGTATCTGTGCACGTTACATGGGAAAGCTGTTGACCATAGGTATTGCGAGTATCTGGCACACGGGATTGCGAATACCCTTGCGTTTCGTAAGATGATAGGCTGCACAGCAGAAGATACCTGTTCCTCCGTACCGAAGATCTGATCCCGTTGACGCGATCCGCGTCCAGCCTTGCCAAAACAGGTTAAGAATCCAAGGAAGTGAAGGTCTTGGTTAACCACCAATTACCCCAGTGTTAGAAGCTTGGAAGCGCCCATATTCAGAGCCTCCAAGCACGCCAGGGCGGAAGAACGGCTACCGGCACTTCGACGACGAGATTATCAAATTCGTTTCGGTCTTTCTGCCTGATCGATGCCAACGGTGCGTCTCCGTATACCAAGCGCATGGCATATCTCGCTTCCCCATGGGGCCGGGGCACCCTTCCCCAGGTGTTCGGGTTATAAGGGTCAGACTGGTTCCAATACTTTTTTGGTCCGTTGACGACGATCACAGCAACTTACCTCCCCGCTGGAAACACCTCCAACTTGAGATCGCACTCACACAATTTTGTTTTCGTTCGTTGACAGCATGAACGCAAACAAAGATGGGCCCGTGCTCACGGAACCGGAGTACAGGGACGAGAAAGGTTCGGACACATCGCCAAACCCGCCTTTCAAACTCGAAGATGTCGAACAATCCGCCTCGATGATTGACATTGATCCTATCACTGAAGCAAAGCTGCTGAGGAAGCTGGACATCCGGATCGTGCCCATGATCTGCTGGATCTACTTGATGAACTTCATGGATCGAGGTGCGTGCGGTATGCTCATCTTGAGATTTAGACTGACAATTTCGCGTAGTCAATATCGGAAATGCTCGTCTCTACAAGATGGAGGAGGATCTTGGCATGGATCCCAATAGCAATCAGTTCCAAATTGCGGTATCTATCTTGTTCGTCACTTATGTAGTAAGTATTGCTTTCACTCAGCATTTATGACTTTCACTAACCATCTCTTAGATATTTGAGACTCCAGTAAGCTCCGCGTCTACCAAGGATAGGCTACACATGCTAATTCAACTCCTAGTCAAACTTGATCTTGAAGCGAATGAAGCCCGCTCGGTATCTCGGAGGTCTCATGTTCATGTGGGGCATGGTGGCCACATTCTCCTGCTTTGTGAACAACTTCGCCGGACTCATCGTCTGCCGCCTTCTGCTCGGCACTTTCGAAGCAGGCTTGTTCCCAGGCGTGATTCTTTACTTGAGCATGTTCTACAACCGGCGCAACGTTAGCTTGAGACAGGCGTGCTTCTATGGTACATCTGCACTAGCGGGTGGGCTGGGTGTAAGTATCGCTTCCCCAAACCAAAAGGAGGGAACTAACAAGCACAGGGTGTTGTAGCCTATGCGATCGGTGAGCTCGATGGTGTAGCTGGCTGGAACGGATGGCGTTGGATCATCCTGATCAACGGCATTCCAACTGTGATCACCGCCATCGCCGTACCTTTCGTCCTACCCAACAGCCCCGAGACGGCCAGCTTTTTGACCGAGGAAGACCGCCGGAACCTCGTTCTGCTCCGAATGAAGGAAGTCGGCCAAACAACTTCTGGTCAGGAACTCGCGCGCGAGGATGTTATGAAGGGTGTGAAAGACTGGAAGGTCTACGCCTATGCCATTGCGCAATTCGTTGGGCTGGGCATGCTCTACAGTTTCTCCGTCTTCCTACCTACCATCATCAACGGTCTCGGAGGTGGATGGAGCCGTCAAGTGGTTCAGGCGTTGACGATACCCGTCTACGTCTGCGGATTCCTTACCTACGTCATCTGCGCATACTTCAGCGATAAGTCGCAAAACAGAGGTCTTTACTGTATAGGTGGGCTCGCTGTTAGTATGATCGGGTACATCTTCCTCATCGCAAACAAGGTAGGCCTCCAACATTCCACGACTCCAACGACTGTACTGACATGCGTATAGGGACTTGGCCTCAGCTTCGCTGGCTGCTTCATCGTCGCGCTCGGCCTATGGGTAGCCACCGGAATCGCCTTCTCCTGGATCGCTGTCAACAATCCCCGATACGGAAAGCGAGCCTTTGCGAGCGGTATGCAGATCACCATCGGTAACTGCTCAGGTGTTGCGGCACCTTTCTTGTACGCCGCCGATACCGCGCCAACATACATTCCGGGCTACGGCGCTACCATCGGACTGCTTGCCCTCGGTATTGCGATCTACATTGCGCTGCACTTCTACTTCCGGATGAAGAACAACAGGAAGCTGTCTGGCAAGGAGGACTGGAGGATCGAGGGTAAGACCGAAGAGGAGATTGCTGAGATGGGTGAGGATAACCCGAGGTATTTGTACACTATCTAGACTGTCCCTTGTAAGACTCACGAGATGCCTGAGTGGCAGGCCGAGGTGGCTTCGTGGCCGCAATACAACAACTAGTATGACTTCCCGAAAAGCATCTGCTTTTACGACTACGGCTTTCTGCTTGCTCTACAGTCACGCGCCAGTCTCTGCCTTCATTTGCGCTCTCACTCCGACTTCACTCGCGCTCTCGCCCCACCTTTACTTCGCTCTTACCCTGCCTTCACCTGGGTTCTCACTCTGCCTTCACTTACCCTATCACCTTACCAACGTCATGTTTCTTTCTTCTGCAATACGAGTACTACTGTTGCTCTGCTTTATATACGACAATCTGTAGAAGATCTCTTTAATAAGGTTCAGTGGCGTGTTCGCACGCTTCTATCCATTGCAGGTTAAAGTCCTGTCGCAAAGTACGGGAGTTCGAATCTCAGCGGAGGCCTTCCTCCCCTGGAGGGGGCTGATGTTGGGTGACGGGTGAGTCAACCTTTGCGCCTTATTTTTAGCACTTTTTTGCGCTTTTCTTTTTGCTCTTACTAAGGTCTAATCTACTTATATCCAAAGGACGTAAGAGAACACTATCAAAATCACCCGCATACTGCGGTCAAAGTTTTGGAGCTAAAAGACATGACCTTGGTGATGTCATGTTTGTTGTCTTCCACAATATTCCGAGTCTGTTGCCAAGACTAGTGAAGGTGAGCCACGCGCGCACACCGACCGGCTAGTTAGGCAGAGATCTCTCTCACATCCGGTCGAATCTCTTTTACTCTTTTCTTACCAACCCCAGGACTAGCGACGTCGCAGAATTCTCGACCGTCGCGATGACAACACCCGATTACTCTGCACTTGACAGCGCGGCGAAAGCCAACCTGGATGTGATCTTCTCCGCAGTACACGGTAGCGTCATCAGGAAGCCCAACATCAATGGTATCTACTTTCAGCCGTCGCAGGCTGTCATCACTTGCGCCCCTCACGACCTGCAGCTTGAGTGGCTGTTCAAGAACTACAACTCGGTAAGTCCATTGTAAACACGCATATGACGGCTTCGCTAACATGATCACTCCTCCAGTTGGCTCTCACCAGCTTCGATGTGACCTCTACACAAGATCCCCACCTCATCCGCGGACTATGGTTCTACGCTCTCGATCCCGAGCACTCATTCGCGCAGTACTACAAGATGACGCGCTACAACCTCGTCGGAATGGCGTATGTTTGGTCACTCGACTTTCCCGCTGATCTATGCGGACCCGGTGACGAAGTGCGCGAGTTCGTCCACGGGTTCATCGACGCCTGGTTCGGCTCCCTGCGAGATACGAGCGACGATTGCGCAAGTCAAGAGAAGTTTATCCATATGTGGATGAACAGCGGACTTGATTTGTTCATCGTCCGCGACAAGCACACTATCCAAGGCCTTGACAACGCTATCAGCAAGTTGACGAGGCAGTCTCTGCCGCCGTCTTTGAGGAAGGTTGTGGAATTTGAGGCCAAGGAAATCCCGTTCATGCGAGAGGAGGGGAAGATCTCTCAAGATGAGTACGTTCACATGACATGAAAAGACACTCGCTTTATAGTCATTGCTAACGAAATCACTTCACAGATACGACAAGTATGGCCCTTCTCTCATCCTCCACTACGTTCTCGCAGTGTCGAAGCTCGGACAAAACATCTTCGTCAAGCGAAACAAGATCAAGGATATACGCGAAGCTAGAATGATGGAAGAACTAGCAAAGCGTCAACATAACGGACTTGCTGCGGTCGATTGGGACTCCGAGCCGGTTCGCTCACTCGTTCAAGCTGTCGATCCGTCACTGCCGGCACCAAAGGCTATCCAGAACCGGCCTCGCTCGGACCTCACGCGTGTTCCTTGGATGGATGTTGATGACTTCTTCAGGCTCTTGAGATCTGGTTTCGAGAAATTGAGGGAAGACGAGGAGAACTTGGCGTCCGCTCTGGGAGGAACGACTTTGGCTTGAGATGCTTTCGCTCACGTACTGGAATTGTCTGGTACTGTGACTCAAAATCTGTTTTGTCTCACTTTGCAGTCTGGATAAATGACATGTTGACGAGACCTCTCGAAGACAACTACATGTCTTGTAGCCCAGTTCTTCTAGCAAATGTCTCAATGTAGAGTATTCGCTGCATATATGACATCTGTCGTTCGTTCCTCTCTTTTCCAACCCATATCCACCTCGCACAATCATCTCCAACACCATCATCACAACAAAAGCACCTACCATGCCCACCACCCCACCACACAAACCAAGCCACACTACCCCCGCCAACCCCTTCGGTCCTCTCATCGCTACCAGCTTCCGCTCCAACGGTACAATGCGCCAGTACCACTCTTACAACCCTACTGCAGACATGTCCACTCAAGAGGATTCATTCCGCATTGGCGCAACGCATGCTACCAAGCGCAGGAACCGCGACACTGTAAGTGAAGGAATGATCCAGGGAGGGGATAATGCAACAGGGGAAAGGATAGCGTCACGTTCCGACAGATGGGGTGTTGTAGATTCTGCAACCTGCTCCTTCCGTGAAGATGGTCAGGAGAGCGACGAGAGTGATGCGTCTAGTCATACACGAGGCCGCTCAGAGGCTTCCAGCACTACACTGGCAGCATATGAAGATGACGGAAAGGAGATTAGTGAGGGCGAAGGAGATTCAGATGAGAGCATGGAGGATTTCGAGAGCGACAAGGGTGAGGACGAAGAGAGTGAGACATCTAGCCACACGGTGGGACGGAGCGAAGACTCAGACTCTGGAGATGACGGCGGTGATGAAGATAGCGATGAAGAGATGGGCGAGTCTGATGATGAAGGCGATGTGTTTGGGGAGAGTTATAGGGAGGGTAGTAGGAAGTAGGAAAGAAGAGGGGAGGGTGAAAGAAGACGGTAGATGCACGCAGTCTATGTAGATTCCACCTCCTCGATGTAACCAACAGCATCTCACTATACAACAGCCATCACTTTAGAAAAAGGCATAAACAGTCATGACAAACAACCACATTGATATCTATGCATAACCCCAAACTCTGCAAATGCTATGTACACCCAAAAAGAAACGTACCTCATCAACCCATCCATCCCCTCAACCAACCTAAAATGCCTTACTGCGTGCCTGGCTACCCTGTCATGCCAACCCCCCTAGAAATGAAAATCTAAACGAATCAAAAAACCCCAAGACCAAGACGATAAACAAACAAGTCATCGCTCTAACGCGCCATGTGTAAAAACGTCAAAAGTTCCATCGTGTAGCAGCAAACACAGAATAGTTCAGGTAAAAGTCGTCTCCCAGAACCAGCGTCCCGGTTTGTTGTGATGTTATGCCCATGCCCATGCCATGCAAGCGTTTTTGTTCCCATCGACGTCTAGCCCGCCCAAAACGCAGGGCGATGCAACATGTGAGTGTGTGTATGAAGTACAAGCTTTTAGCTTTTTTGATAATTGCCAATCAAAATAGATTTGGCAGCCGCCCTGGGACAGAACAGAGACAAAGAGCGAAGAGAGTTTCCGAAAGCAAGATATCCACTACGATGGACTCGCTTTATCCAAAAGTTCGCCTGCACTCTTCCTCCTCTTGATTTCGCGTCTAGCAATCGCGCGAGGACTTTCAGTAAACCATCCATGGAGTCAGAATTCCTCGTCGCGGTCTTCGCCGCGGGTGGTGTGTTTGCCGCGCATGCTGCCCATGTCGTTGTAGCTCTGGTGGCCGCCGAGGGCGCTGGTACCGCGTTCGGCGCTGCGGTCGCGGTCGCGGTCCTTGTCTTTGCCTTTGTCTTTGCGGTTTTCCTTGTCTCGTTCCTTGTCTTTCTTGTCCTCTTTCTCCTTGTCTTTGTCCTTGCGTTTGCCTTTTCGTTGGAAGGGGAGGACGCCTCGGAAGCCGCGTTCCTTTTTCTCTTTGGTGGCTTTCTCGGAGAAGGCGGGGAGGGCGGTTGTGTACTCCTCTTCTGCGATACTACCGCTGTCGCTGTTTTCCATACTCTGACCGCCTGCTGAACGAGGTGGTCTTCCGACGAGCGAGTTTGTAGACACAGCGGCAGGTCTTTGTTGGTTGATGTGAGAGTTTGGATTGCTGTAGTTGAAGGACTGTGTAGAGGTAGATGTAGAGATCGTGGTCGTTGTCGTCGTAGTCAAGGCTTGCGGGTAGGAAGGCGCAGGGGCCATGTGAAGACCATCGCTGGACCCTGGTGGTGTATCCTCGGTTGCCGATGCTGATGCACTGGCCGAAGCAGACGCGGACTGAGAGGCATTCACCGAGTCGTTTCCTGAGGGCGTGTATTGACCAGACCATTGCTTCTTCGCAAAGGGATTAGTGTAAGATATGGTGGCCGAGCTGTTGCTCTTCAAAGAGCTCTGAGATGCTGAGATGCTCGAATTTTGCTGATGCCGTGCCCGAGGTGGTGGCTGCATTGTGATGGGTGTGCTGGTAGACGAAGACGAATAGTCATCGCCGCCGCCTGGAGATAGCGGGGTTTCCTCAATCTCTTCTTCCAGTATTGGTCCACGATTCCTCGTTGCTGCACCTCGTGACGTGTCGATTTGCGCCCCTTGTAGCTGCTCGACCAACTCTTCCCACTTGACACTCAGTGATGATGACGGCCGTTCGGCAGGTTCAGCGCGATTTAGGCAGTCCTTGGTGCGTTCGCTGAGAGACAGACAGATGTTGTGGAAACGGAGGAGATCACCATCCGTGGCTTGTATGTCAGGCGCACTCTTCTGTGTGTTGTCTAGCCAGAGATTGACTAGCATTGCAAAGTTGCGTGAATGATCGATGAGGTATGGTAATGATGGGAACCCTTCTTTGAACGTCGGAGGCAGACGATGAAGAATGGCAATCGGAGTACTGTACGATGGTGGAATCGGCGGTGCGGGTTGCGACGTGGTCGATATTGAGCAGATATCGTCGAGATACTTCTTGAACTCTTGCCGATGCGTGGTGAGGAATTGGTTCATAGGCTCCATCCATGCTTCTTTGGTGCCAAATGAAGACATGTTCGCCAGACCTTGCAGTGACTTTGCAATGAGCGTGAACGTTCTTCGAGCTTTGACCTTGGGGTGATCTAGATGACTGTTAGCGAGATGGTTAAAGCAGAAGTGGAGAACTTCACACCTTTCAGTAAGCCAAAGAGTTTCGGGTTCAGCACCGCTGGAACGAAGAAGCGCAAGAACAGGAAGCCAGAGACACTGCTGTACTGCACCGTCCGGAGGTAGTCTCCATAGCGGTCGTCAGCACAGGCCCTGATGTGCCTGAAGATCAATCTCAGCTCCTGTGGACACCTCGCCACGGAGTTGTAGATGGCTCGCCAAACTTCTTCAGTACAGTTAATCAGCCTTCTCCAGTTCCGGTCTAGTTCGTGTTGTGATGTGACTTTGTTTGGATCAACCTCACAATCAGGGTCCTTGGTGTTGATCTCTCTCAGCTTCTCGCTCAGAGTCTCCTCCAGGTACTCTTTCCCAAGTCGCTTCATGTGCAAATCCAGTGACTTCGTAAGCAAGGTGTTACCGCGGAAGAGCAGATTGGCCTCCAGTTTGGCATTGTTGCCCATGTCGCGAACGAAGAGCTCGCGGTCGCTCGCAGAACCAAAGGTGGCCAGCGAGGATTCATTCGATTCACTTGATCCCAGTCTTTTACTGAACCGTAACCGACTAGCAGGTGACTCTTTCAATGTGCCATCAATCTCTTCTTCGACTAACGCGCATATCCACTCGCCAGCTGCCCCGGACACCTGGAAGATGTTCAAGAGATATTCTGATAACCTCCTGAGCTCGTTCGGGATCATCTGGGCGATCTGAAGTGTTATTCCGTTGGAAAACCTGTGGAGAAGTTCCGAAAGTGGATAGTAGTCGCGAGCCATGAGAATCGCGCATTCCTCGCTGCTGACTTTGACCAGTACCTCGCCGACACTGTTTCCATACATGTTGATAAGCGGCCACCACTTCTCCGTCTCTTGATTCGGGCCGAGGTCGTCCAGATAGATGTCGGTTTTTCCTACAGTCTGATCGAAAGAGATACCAGCGTAACCACCCTCGGAGACATATGGGTCGGAGTTGGTGGCCTCGAAACCGCTCTTTTCGGTGCGGTTGTAGCTCGGCGGTCGCTTTTTCAGGAGTAATGAAGCAGTGTGTAGAGCGGGTAGATCCAGGAATTCAAACTCTTCTCTCCAAAACGGATTGTTGCCCTCGCTCTTGACCGTAGTTCGTGAACGTGTCTCTCCATCTAGTAGCACTTCAACGAGATAGCCACCCGGGTTGGTTGTAGCAGACGAAGACGGTCGTATTGGGGTCGTTCCGTTGCTATCCGAGACCTTGGGGCTTACAGGCGGAATGAGTTTCGCTTCAATGACCCTCACGAACAATGATTTCTCCATGCGGAACATGTCTTGGGTGCCGAAAGACGGTGACAAAGTGCCCTCGTCGGTCATGGCGTCCGGCGATTTGGGGCCATATAGTTGCGGAACGGTGAAGGCGCGTAGGAGGACGATCCAGACCTCGTACAGAACTCGTGACTCTAGCGATAGGAATATGGGACGCAGGATTGTTAATGCAGGAGAAGAAGCAGCGGTATACTGGGGATATATGGCAATGCAAAATTCGTTATCCAAAACGGAGGGATCCAATCGCTGAACGGCACATCGGGAAAGCTGGGAAAGCTGAACGGTGGAAACAAGGGTGACATCGGTGTCGGAGTAGAGCTTGAGCTCTCCGTTCTCACGGAGCGTGCACGACACTCTTCTCCAGCGGCGGGATCCGTGGCTCTGGACTCTGTACGCCTGGGGGCGTCCCCCGGGCCCATTGTTCTTTTGGGTGCCTGTATTGCTGCTGTATGTCACGCTAGTGTCCCAGTAGATCATCTTGCCGACTTTGATGATGGGCGCTTCCTTCTTGGGCGAGTCTTTGAGGAGCGACACCTCGGAATGCCGTCGGCTGTCTGGCAGGCGGCGCTCGATCATGACGGGCGCCTGGGGCTTGGCCATCCTGTTCTGGATGCCCTTGGGACGCATGGGCGACCAGCACAAGAGGGCGGCGAACCACGAGTCGAACTCTTCCTGGGTCGGCGGGCGCAGGTGGACTTCGAGCTTCGAGTTGTGGACGACGACGTGGATGTAGGCCGTGTAGGCTTCGCCGTCGTATGCGCTCTTGACATGGCAGCCGCGGAGATCGGGGATGAGGGTGCGGGTGTACGACGTGTCGTTCTTGGGCTCGTAGACCAGGCTGCCGGCCTCGTCGTTGATGTAGCAGTACGACAGGCCCCAGGGGTTTGGTTCGCCGCGGCGGAAGGCCAGCAGACCCTGCATCTTGCCGCACGTGGAGCGCATGAGGGCCTTGAGCTTCTTAGCGTCGGACGCCGGGACAGGCGAGACCCACGAGTCGGGCGGGACATTGGAGGGCGAGAGAACGGGCGAGGTGGAGCGGTGGGCGGCCTGCTGCTGTTGCTGCTGCTGCTTGGTCAGGCGGCTGCGGCTATTGGTGCTCGAGGTCCGGGGCGGCTGCTGGGGCGGGGAGATGGTGGAGATGTGGCCGATGGAGGTGACGACCGACTCCTCGAGGCTCTGGTAGTTGCTCTGGTTGCTGGCGACGGAGCCGATGCGGTGGCGGCCGGAGCCAAAGACGGACGAGGGCGAGCGCTCGCGGGTGCTGCGCTCCTCGAGGGTGCGGGTCCGGGGCCGTGTCTGCTCGCGCGCATTGCGGTACTCGGAGTCGCTCGAGGCGCGGGCGACGTACTGGCGCGGGTTGGCGGTGCGCTGGGAGTTACTGAGCTGGCTGTTGTGGGAGCGGGGGCTGTTGGGCGGGGACTGGAACGTCTGCACGGGCAGGCCGTCCTCGGGGATCGTGGCCGTAGCCGTGTTCGTCGAGGTGGTGGTCGTCTGCGAGGGCGGCGGGTCGTCGGGGGTGACGGTGCGGATGGTGTGGGCATGGCGGACGTCGTCGCGCTCGTGGAGGGAGTAGACGCCCTGGGCGGCCTCGGAGGCGCTCACCTCCCTCCGGCTGCGTCGCTGCTGCGTCTGCTGGTCCATGGATGCGGACCGCTGCGGTGTCGTCTGCTGCTCATTGACACACGACAGGCGGCCCGGCTCTGGCAGCTGGTAGCCGTTGCGCTGGCGGGAGTGCGGTGACGGCGGACGAGGGCGGCGGGGGCGCGGCAGGACTGGCGTCTGGTGTCGTGAGGCGCATCGCAGGCCTCGTTGCGCGGGCAAAATGGTCTGTCGTTAGGTAGTCAGAGGCCCACCGCCAGCCCTAGCGAGCCAACATGGCCACGACTAGCACCCAGCCTTGGCGCCGCTGAGATGCATCGCTAAATCACCGCGCCCCGGCCCAAACACCGCGACGCCAGCTGACGACTCTACCCAGCTGCGCTTGGGTGCCCAACGTCCCTGTGCCCGACGTCTCATCTATCTGCTTCACCGATTCTAGAATCGACATGTAGGCAGGGGAGACGACTGCAGATCAGAGCATAAGATAACACGCAACATATAACATAGCATTCTCTCCGCATTGGTATCGAACAACTACTGCAAACGGCGCCTCGTGGATATCTGAACCTCCCAATAACCCCACTGCCTGCCTATAACCTCCCAACATTGCAAAATCAAATTAGTCCATTCCCATGTCCATGCTCCTCACTTGAACGGGGGCTTGTCAGCCGCGCTCTCCTCCACACTCGCCGCGCTCAATGGCTGCGAGCGCGCACCGCTGAGGTCGCCCGAGTGCGTCTTGCGCAGCGCCTGTCGCATCGTTTCAATTTGCACTGGCAGCTCTTCGCCCGACGCTGGGTGTGGGCTGCCGAGCACGAGAGGTGACGTAGGACTCGCCGGTGACCGCGTGCGCGACAGATCCGCGTGCTTGGGCGAAGCCGCTCCGCTTGTGGTTGGGGGCGAAGACGCCGCAGACCGCACTGGCGAGGGCGATCGGTTTGCCGTCGACGAGAGGCTCATAAACTGCAGAGCCTCCGTCGATGTGGCGCCCAACACTTCCTGCCTATCGTGCTCAACATGCTCTGCCTGCACCACGTCTGCGAATGAGATGAAGCTCAAGCGCCGGGGATCCGCCGTGTCCAGCGAGCCGTATCCAGGTGCTGAGTCCGGCACGTCAGCATGGCTGGACGCCACAGATTCTGTGTGAGGGAGAGGTGGCGAGTGCAGGGAGTCGGTTATGCTGCCCGCAACTGCGACGGCGGCGGGCTGATGCGCCGTGTGTGTTATAATCTCCACCTCGTCGGGGTTGAGGTGGTTGTCGGTAATTGCGAGGGACGTCGCATCCAGCGCGGGGGGTATGTGGTCTTCCGTCTTGATGTGGGCAGGCACGTCGGCTGAGGGCTCGGGCTCCTGTACATTGCGCTCGAAGATGAGCGACGAGGCGGGACTGTGAAGACCGGGCGACGTAGAGCGGATGCGCCGACCAGGAGATGCGCCAATAGGCAGCATGCGCGGGCTTCCTCGCGGCGATGCTCGTTGCTCGGGCGGTGACATTGGGGGCGAGGGGAGCAGTGTCGGTGTCGTGGTTGTTGATGCGCTCTCTGCTGGCTGTTTACCGGCCTCTGAATCCTTCTTCTTGCCTAGGCCCAGGAGCTTCTTTCCCTTGCTCAGGATGCTGCCATCGTCGGTCGACTTGGTCGCGCTCGATGCGGGTGCGACGGATGCGGGCGGGTTGGGCTGCTGAGGGGCTGCGGCTGCCGTGTTCGTTGCGCTCATGGTGATATCTGCTCTGTTCGTGTCGCAAAGTGGAAAACAGCGCAAGAGGCGAGATGGGCGCCCTATACAAGAAGCTGCGAGTCGGGCCTATGGCGAGCAATAAACCTGTCCCTGTGTCGTCACGCGGTGGCTATCGTCGCTTTCCAAGTTCAGGGAAGTTGCCGAGTGGGATACACCCTTGACCTTTAATCAACAGGCCTTGGGCTCTCTTGCGCTACAGTGAATGATATCAATAGACTCAGTGGTGTGAAGTGACAAGGTATTCAATCAGACTGTATAAGTGAAGTTTGCACGTAGTATAGCACTGCGCAGGTCTGTGTTGACAATCTCCTCTCCCTCGTACTTTGGGTTGTTGATCGTCACGGCGTGCTGACGTATGCCCAAGACCCTGAATGTGCCTGGGAGACTAGAACGCTTCCCCTAGCTCATCTCGCGCGCCCGCTGTCCAATGCCTTGCCAGTGCCCGCCAACAACAACGCCTTTCAACGTGCGACGAGTCTCGCTCAGGTTTCAGATCAAACGTTTACCATCATTTCCGCTCGCTGATCCAAATGCCAGTCTTCTATGCTTGGTGACGGCACAGTTCATTGGCACGCCTGGTCGCTCTCCGGATCCCCCCATGCGCATGCATGCAGGACATTCACGTTGAATGGCCTCTGCGCTTCCATCATGCTTCCACGCTTTTCTTCTCCGCGGTCCCCTCCATGTAGTCGAACCAAGTTCTTGTGATCGCTCACCAGGCCTCGATTACCATGTCTAACATCCCTGCTCCCGATCGAGAGTTCGACCTTGCGTCGACAGTTTATGGCAAAGCCCCAACAATCGGGCGAGTCTCGTGGACGCAGAATTTCTCACGGTTCATGCTTGGTTCTGACGCACTCGCAAGGCAAACTCGTCCAGTCAGCTCCAAGCCGCGCCGTTGGGCTGCTCGCTTCGTAGTGGCTGAACCCGCCAAACACCAACATCGGACTAGCCGCGGGTAATTACATTTATGGGGGGCCAGACACGGTATCATCCCTTGGTGGCATAGCATCATAAGCTGTCCCCGCCTCACGTATATGCTAAGTGCAAGGTCAAATCCTCATCATACCTCCCGAGTTGCAGGCATTATCCATCACGTTGAGAAGAGGCGCCCCAATACAAACCTGCAGAAAGCACGTGAACACGTTCGACCGCACCTCACTCCAGAACCTTGTTGAAATGAGAGCCGTCATCAACTGCGCCGCATCGGCTTTCGCCATTCTGGTTGGCCTACTACTTGTGCAAAGTTCATCGTCTGCGCCTGCATGACCTGACACGCAGGAGTCAGTAGATGCCGGTGTCAACTCAGCAGCACAACCGAACTCCGTGAAGAAGTGGTACAACTCCCGGAAATAGTCATCAAGTTCAGCAGAAGGGTGAACGTACGCAGTAGCTAGATCGATTGGCCATCATCGCTCTCCATGGTTTCACTTCTCCAATATACAACATCCTAGCTGGAAGCTCAAGGCACTAATCACAGTGACTGTACCATCTGACAGATACCGATATGACATGGGTACAGACTGACGCCCATGGTGGTTGCCGGTCGTGGGGTATACGGATTTGCGGATGCCGAGAAACGCCCTGCTCGACTAGGTATTCGAGATGATCGTGGCGCTACCGAAGCGCAAGTCCCCAGCCCGTGGTTTACCTCGTGGCTCGCTAAGTGTACGGGTATTCCCAGTCTTTCGATTCATGATCAGCCCGTGCCGGGCATCGAAACGAGTCTTGGTGCTTCGTATCATACACTTGAGGGCACGTCGTCCATACACTCATTTACAAACGTCCATTCCATACTGCAAATACCGCTACAACGTCACTGTTCCGATGCCGTGCAAGAATGGGTGCAGTCAAGATGTTTAGCCCAAACGATCTACGGCCCACTATCGAAATCACAGCTTTCGTCCTGGTGGCCCTCTCGACAGTAGTGATCGCTATTCGGTTCGTTTTCTATACTCATCGTTCTACCCTTGTCCCATTGTGCTCATCAATATTAGGTTCTACGTGCGAGGATGGATCATCAGAAAGGTTAATCTAAGTGACTACTTAATGGCAACGGCATTAGTAAGTTGAAACCAAGTTGTGAACTGTCATATACTAATCGACCGTGGGTCTTCACTTGGGGGCTTTGCGCCTGCAACCATTATCAGTTCTTATTTGGTTCCGGGGTCGATTACAACCCAGGCGTCAGATCAAAGGTGAGAATAAGTGTTTTGAAGTATCGGACGTGCTACAGCAACATGCTAAGCAAACCACAAGGTCAAAGCAGAGCAGTCGAAATTGGACCGCTACGCTTTAGGTGCTGTGGCAACATGTAAGTAGCTGTGCTGGCAAACACAAGATCATCCTGACGGTTGGAAGGGTACGCATACCATATCGGTTATCAGTTCATAATGGGTCTCATCAAGCTCTCAATACTCGTCTGTAAGTACAATCCTTGACTATGTCGTCCAAATGCACGTCAATCTAATCCCTACACTTCCAGTCTACCTCGGCTTTGCAACCCAACGAACCTTTCGAAGACTAGTCCAGATATCGATCGTCATCGTCACCGCTGTTACGATCATCTTGATCTTTATTATCGCCTTTCAATGTCCCAAGAAGCCCTCTGTCGCTTTCGGCGCTGCTATATTGCGAGACAGGGGCTCCGTCTACTGTCTCGATTTAAGGATCATTCTCTACTGGCAAGCAGGCTGGAGTATCGCATCCGACGTCGTCATACTACTTCTTCCGATGCCACTTCTGTTTTCACTGCGCATGCGAACAGCCAAACGCCTATCAGTCATAGCCGTGTTTGCTGTGAGTCTTCTCATTCCCATAGCATCTGCAGTACGGCTTTGCGGGCTGAACCTCTGGGCCAATAGCGGATTACACGCTCGGTACTACGGGGGATACATCATCTTCTGGTAAGTGAAACTCGCACAGAACGTAGATCTGAGACAGCTACTGATTGCACTGTAGGTCCCAAGTCGAGATCAACACAGCCATCATCTGCGCATCAGCACCATCCATCCAACCTCTCTTCAAACGCATCTTGAACCGAATACTCGGCTTCCGCCAATCCCACAGCCCTTACTATTACTATGGGGCGCGCAGCTCGCTTCCCGGACTACCTGCCGTGGAAATCGACAGAGACTTGCGATTCCGTAGAGACAGCATTAGTACCCTGGAGATGCCGACACGGGCTTGTTGTCCAGCCAAGGAAGTTGCAGATGACGGAGTTCGGGACCGAATTGCTATTGGTCATGCTGCGGAAGAGGAAGAACTCAGGGCGCGTATTCGTGCGCTTACAAGTCCGACGCCTGTGTTTGTTCGGCCTGTGTCGCTTTCTTCTGGACCGACAGTTCCTGACTCCAGTGTACCGGCAATACCACCAGAAAATCCGCAAGGCTCTCTGCGCTGATCTGAGGTAGCATTTGAGACCTCACAATTTTACAAGCGTGTAAGATTCGCTACGCGCAGAAAGCTCCAGGGCCAGAACTCAAAGCAGGCGCGCAACCATGAAGTCCTTACGCCCTGCCCAGCCATGCAATACAAGCCAAGACCGGATTTCACTGTTCATTGCGTGGGCAATCGCTTACCTGTCAGCGACCAACACCGCTCTCGTGGGCGAACCTGGTCCTCGGCTGAGATAAGCCGCCCCAGAACGTGGAGTTCAGTGTAACCATCGGTTACGCGATTAGTATTCGAGACAGCTGATTTGTCGACACTGTGATTATACCCCCGCGTCTAGGGGCATGTGCTTGGGACGAGGGGGGAATCGATATTCCTCATCCGTTGTATGGGGACGACAAGGGAGAAGGCGTCCAGATGAGAAACAGCCTTTGGGCCTTACATGCTGCTAGGGGGAGGAGACGCATGCGTCGGTACTGCTGCATGCTTTTGTGTGTCACGCATCATTCCAAATCGTGGCGCCGGCTCGAAGTCCGGTCATCGCGTAGACTGCAGGCGGCGTCGCGTCGCGTCGCGCTCGAGCTGAGCACTGATGGGTGGGTGGGGGAGGCGGAAGGGAGGTGGTGGAGGTCTCAAATGTCGATGGCGCCGACTTGGGGAATAGAGGCTTGATCATTGAGATTGTACCTGAGCATACGGTATGCTATCGATAGCTTTGATGATGATGCCGACTTAACCCCGATGACGCACCTATCGCCGAGCTACAGCTCTAGACCCACCTTCCTCAACGGTTCAGCCTCCTGTCTTCCTTCCCACCAGCTCTACAAGTCGGCGTTCAAACAAAAGCCCTACATCGCCGTCTCATCAAAGCTCCTCGCCGTCTTCGACGATGCGGCTCTGGTCCTGACTAACTCCAGATGGGGGATTTCTCGCGGCGGCTATGCTTTACCCAGGGACCCTGCATATACATTTCATGAGAAGGGTCTAGCGTCAAACCACGCTTCGATCTGACACTTATCGCACCACCAACAATCCACATCACAACATCCCTCAATGTCACGGTGATACTAACAGATACATTCATTAATGCGGATTGCTAGTAACGATCGCGATCTGGGAGTTTCCCTTTTCGAAAGCGCGGCTGTGGGGTTGCCGCTGCTTTTTGCCGCTTTGGATGGGTGGCAAAAGGTACCGATGCTCGCGGTTTGGATCGGAGGATGTGTTTATAGACGGCGGCGTGGAGATCGTGGGGTCCTCACGGATTGCGCGGTGCTTGGGGTTTTGTATGCCTGGTTGGCGAGAGAGAAATTGGTTGCGACTGTGTTGAAGAGTTGGAATGATTGGAGGGGCTGGGCTGAAGGGTTGCCTGGTACATATGCCGTTTTCAGCGTCGCAATACCGCTAGCTATCCTCGCGATTTCTCTATGGCGCAGTCTTCGCAGCAACGAGGATCCAATTGCGAACACGCCTGATATCAGTCGATGGAGATCTGATGTGGAAACGCCAAAGCCAAAGATCTTCCCGTGCCAAACGTCGCATGCTCGAATCTTTCCGAAGCGTCATGCTTTCGCATACTCATACCTTCAGTGCGGATTTCCCATCGTTCCAAGCGGAGCTAAATACCAGGGGATAGAGTTCGCAAGCGGAGATGACCAGACTTTGGGTAAATGGTGGTTGCGGATAAGAGCGGAGGATTATCTGGAACGAGGTGGCGGCGCGTCCGGATTCTACTGGAAACTGAGGTCGTACTTGCGGGCTCAGCATGTTGAAGATGCGGAATGGGAGTATGCCTACCTGGTGACGGCACCGCGCTTCTTGGGCTACGCATTCAATCCGGTTTCGTTCTGGTATATCTACGATCGCGAACATCAGCTTGTGAAGATGATACTCGAAGTCAACAACACATTCGGAGAAAGACGCATGTATCTGCTTGACGGCTCGAGTCCTGCCAGTCCGCCGCGCACATCTGATTCTGAACAAACGTCTGGATCCGAAGAACACGGACCGCAGATACCTATTCGGGCGAAGTCGAAATTTACCGATGTATGGATGAAAGATTTCCATGTTTCGCCGTTCAACTCTCGAAAAGGTTCGTATACGCTGAAGGCCCAAAACCCATTCCCTTCTGTGCATTACGAGAACCCTCTGATCGACAATACGATTACCCTCAAATCTTCGAAGGACCATGGGAAGCTTGTAGCTCGTCTCTTCTCTACTGAGAAGGCCATTGACCCGGATCAATTGGGTTTTCTCGGAACTCTGCGGTTCATCCTGAGCTGGTGGTGGGTAGGCTTCGTAACGTTCCCGCGCATCGTCAGAGAAGCTGGCAAGATCTTTTTCAAGAGGAAGTTGCACGTGTGGTTCCGGCCGGAGGTGCTAACGTCGAGCGTTGGTCGGTCTCCCACTTCCGCTGAGATGTAAGTACGCGTGAGGCACTACCCGAATGCAACTAACAATCCCAGAACACTCTACAAAGTATTCAGAAACTACCTACACGTACTCGTAAACCAAACCGAAGTAGACTTTTGCATCACGTTCAAGGCGTCGGTTCCCAACATCCCCACCGATAAGATCGCTACGACACACGTCCCTGGTCGAAACCGGCCATACAAGAACATGGAGATCCGTGTGCTTACGCCAGCTTTCTACTCGCGACTCATCCACTACACGTACATATCCGAGGCTATCGATCGCGAATGCATCTTCACCGACGAACGGAACAGGACATTATGGCTGTGCCGTCCCCAGCTCCTACCTCTGCTACTCTCAGAACGCTCGTCGATACGCCTCAAAGACGAGAACACGCCACCAGTCCGAAGAAGCTATCTCGATGAGCTGAGATGGTGGTTGCTCAAGAAGTTAAGGTGCCCACCCGCCGACCCTGCATACTCAGTCACGCCACAAAATTCCGCGGTCAATGTAGATGATATCCGCGCCCAGCCATTCTCTGAGCTGGATCGATATGTCCGGGGTTACTTCGGACAGCAGTACGCTTGTGACTACCGCAGGACCGTTACCAAGCTTTTCTTGGCACAGCGATTTTGTTTCGGGTTTACAGAGATAGTTGGGCTTGTGGATTTGGTGATCAGGATCTTGCTGTGCTATGTTGCTGCTCGACAGCTGATGAGTTGGGGTGGCTCGGCACCAGGATTGCTGTCAGCTCAATGCCTAGAAGGTTTGGTGATGAGAAGGGATTGGTCGGCATGCTCCAATGCGCTTGCGATGGATTACTGGGGTTGGTGGTCATTGGTGAAGAGCATGTTGGCGGTGTACTCGTGTCACATGTATGAATCCTTGAAGGGTTACAGATGAAACATAGATCACTCTCCTCTTTAACTACAATTCAACTAGTCAACATACTTCCCGAATAACGGTGATGCACATGGCGGTACAACGCCCAGCCACGAGCATTTGCCGGGATCGTCACTGCTGCCGAGCGAGCCTTATCCGAGATATTCCAGACGCAACAATGACACCACTCACGTGTTTTCCGAGACAAAAGCGCCCTAAACAGCGAAGATGCCTGCTTGTGAAAGTCGCAGATCAATAGCGGTCCAGGCCTTTTCCGGACAGGATCAACCGAGGTAAAACCCGCGCAACGCTAGCGAACACGCGACCCCAGATTTTGGCGTGCGTCTTCACATGCACCAGAAAACCAGTAAGCGGAGGCACAAAACATCGACATGTGAAGCTGCAGCATACTGTCGCGTGTCATGCCGAACAGCATCTCCAGTGCATCGAGATGGGAACTGTGATATAGGAGTAGGATGATAACGAAGGATGCAGCTCTGTCCAAACCGAGTTGACCCAAGACCATTGGCAAACGTCATCCCCGTCACGGTTCCGCTGGTCCCCCATCCCCACCCCGATCTACACTGGTCAGCCTTCCAAAACGTCAATTCCCCTTGGGCCGAGGGCAACGCAAAACAACGCTCGAGCAAGTGCATGGCCAGCGCTAGACGTTGCTGCCAGCTTCCTCGGATGCAGCAGTCGGGCCAATGGTGCGTCCAGCCGGTCGTCCCCGAGCTCCCTTGGGGTGCTGTGCTAGCCGTGCTGGTGTGAGTGTGCTGATGCTATGGTTATAAGACGCTTGGCTTCCCCCCAAGGTTCCTGGCTCGGTAGACCGAGGCTAGAGTGCGTGTGGTGTCATTGCTGGTCATCTTTATCAAAGGACGAGCTTTCCCTCTAGTTTTTTGTTCACATTTCTTCAGACACACATCCGTCGTGTCGAGAATACCTAGCTTTTCTGTTGTTATTACGCATCTTGGACATCACTCATCATGGCGAACATTGACGCCGAGGACGCGCAGTTCCAGAAGGAAGTCCAGGAAGTTAAGCAGTGGTGGACGGACTCAAGATGGAGGTATACGAGGCGGCCGTTTACTGCTGAGGATATCGTTTCGAAGAGAGGTAATCTCAAGATCACCTACCCAAGCAATCATCAGTCGAAGAAGCTTTGGGAGATTGTGGAAGGACGCTTCAAGGTATGGTAGTCATGTCACACTTCAGGCTCTAAGCTAACAATATGTGGAACAACGACGTCAGCTACACATACGGATGTCTCGACCCTGTCATGGTCACACAGATGGCGAAGTATCTAGATACTGTTTACGTTTCTGGATGGCAAGCATCGTCAACAGCTTCATCGACCGACGAGCCGGGTCCTGATCTAGCAGACTACCCCTACGTAAGTTACAGAAATGAACGGCGGTGAGGAACGAAAGCTGACGAACAAAAGACAACCGTCCCCAACAAAGTTGGCCACCTGTTCATGGCGCAGCTTTTCCACGACCGAAAGCAACGGGAAGAACGCCTGACCACCGCGAAAGCCGACCGTGCGAAAGTCGCCAGCGTAGACTACCTACGACCGATTATCGCGGATGCCGATACTGGACATGGAGGTCTCACAGCTATCATGAAGCTTACGAAGCTGTTCATTGAGAAGGGTGCTGCGGGTATACATATCGAGGACCAAGCGCCAGGAACGAAGAAGTGCGGACATATGGCTGGAAAGGTGTTGGTTCCGATCAGCGAGCATATCAACCGTCTGGTCGCTATCAGAGCGCAGGCAGATATCATGGGTAAGATGATGCTTTTCGATCATCAGCTTCAACACAGGCTAACAATTGAATGACAGGAACCGACCTACTTGCTGTTGCCAGAACCGACTCAGAAGCCGCTACCCTGATCACTTCTACCATCGACCCACGCGACCACCACTACATTCTAGGCTGCACAAACCCTGCCCTTCAGCCTCTGGGCGAGCTGATGTACGCCGCCGAACAAGCCGGCAAGACAGGCGCGGAGCTCCAAGCAATCGAAGATGCATGGACGAAGGAGGCCAACCTCAAGCTATACCACGAGGCCGTAATCGACACGATCAACGCCGGTGTACATGTCGACAAGCAAAGCATGATCAACGAGTTCATGGAGAAGAGTAAGGGCAAGAGCAACTCAGAAGCACGCGCCATCGCCGCAGGCCTGACCGGCGTCGATGTGTACTTCAACTGGGACGCCGCGAGGACGCGCGAGGGCTACTACAGATACCAAGGTGGTTGCCAAACCGCCATCAACCGCGCCATCGCATACGCACCCTACTGCGACATGATATGGATGGAGTCAAAGCTGCCCGATTTCGCGCAGGCGAAAGAATTCGCTGACGGCGTGCATGCCGTTTGGCCCGAGCAGAAGTACGTCTTCTTCCACCCACTTCCCCTCACACACACTAACAACACAACAGACTAGCATACAACCTCTCCCCCTCCTTCAACTGGAAAGCCGCCATGCCACGCGACGAGCAAGAAACCTACATTCAGCGCCTGGCCAAGCTGGGTTACTGCTGGCAGTTCATCACGCTCGCTGGTCTGCACCAGAGCGCGCTCATGGCCGATACGTTCTCCAAGGCGTATGCGAAGCAGGGTATGCGTGCGTACGGCGAGATTATCCAGGAGCCGGAAGCGGAGAACAAGGTCGATGTGCTTACGCATCAGAAGTGGAGTGGCGCGAATTATGTGGATAATTTGCTGAAGATGGTGTCGGGTGGTGTTAGTTCTACGGCGGCTATGGGCAAGGGTGTTACGGAGGATCAGTTTAAGTGAAGGGGTGTTGTGGGGGTTCATTAAGACGAAGCTTTTATATCTCAGATTTCTGGGTTACTCAACATCTTGATCTGGTTCTAGCACCTCCATCTCATGGTATCGCGATCCGAGCGATTTACATCTCAGACTGCTGGGCTACTCAACATCTTGATCTGGTTCTAGCACCCCCATCTCATGGTATCGCGATCCGAGCGATTCACAATCTCTGACGTTCACACCAGACTTGTTGATAAGGAGTATGGTGATTCCAAAGACTTGCCACTGTGGAGACAATGCTATCACTGCGCCGGTGAATGCACGTTATGTCTACCATACAGGCTCCTATCACTTAATTCACGTTTGTTTCCTCTGTGGATTCCAAAATCATCTTTCACAGCTCCAGTGTAAAAGCTTTTCGCCTAACAAATGCGCAGGCTCACTATTCCACTCTACATTGAACACTGTGAAGGTTCCATCACCCTTTGAGTTGCTTATACCTTAGCGCCGCAACAATGCTGTCCTGAGTTGTGCAAAAACGGCACTTTGTCTGGTTCTCTTCGCCGCATCAGACCTGTGTTCACCAAGCAGCAGTTGAGAATTTAGACTTGAATCTACTACACCATGTCAGCGCAGATAGAAATCGCAGGACCAGCAGAAGCTCCCGCAAACCCCACATCCTCATCATCTAGAAAAGAACGCAGCGACATGGCCCAACGTATCAAAAACGACAGAGAAAAGCAATGCCAATCGTACGGTCCACAAGTCTTCGAAGATGCTAGGGCTTTCGAAGCCTCCCTGGACAACGGAATACTCTTCACCCGCGCGTTCTTCGAAAAAGCAGCAGAGCAAGTCGAGATAGTTCGTAAGGGTGATCTGACCATGCCGCTCATATCTTTACCACGTGTACTAGGCAGTGGACAAGTGAAGAAGCGTGTTCCACCGTGTGCCTCACCCGCGGTCAGCCTGGGCTTCAGCGGGGTCTTCATTGGTGCTTCTGACCCGACTCTCCCAGCGTATCGCATCAGAACTCACAGCGAGGATACTAAGTACGATTTCAGTGATACCAGGGCGCTGAAGCCCGATAGCCTTCAGAGTACACGTGAGCAGGCGAGCCTACGTTGCTCTTCTTCCGAGGAGTACAAAGGAATCCCAAAAAACCTCGAGACATCCTTGCTCCGAAGTAGGTTCTGGGCGAGTGTACGACAGCAGCTCGACGCTCTCACCGTAGCAGTCGACAACGTTGTTTGCGTAGCCCTCGGAACCATGCACGGAACAGAGGAGGAAGGCAGAAAGGAAGATACTTCAGCTACACAGCACATGCTCGCCTGCGCCATCTCGAGCCACCTATCGCAGCGGTACGCCGCCACTTCCACCACGTCTTCCACACCAATCCCAATCCCAATCGTAGCTCGCGACACGGCCTACAAACTCGAAGATATGGTCATGCTTTCTGAGTGCCACCCTCCCATTACGGTGGTATCAGAGCCATACCAATACCTCTCTATCACGCCCTCTACGCTCTTAGTAAGCCTCTACCAACCCGCCTTCGTACCGGTCTTCCAGGTTGCTGCAGACATGTGTTTTCCGACAAGTCCCGCGGCAATCATCACTGCAGAGATAATGAGCCATCCGTGGCATAAGGAGGGGAAGATCATGGCGCTCGATACTTGGACCCCGCGAGTTGGAAGGATGCTGGAGTGTATGAATGCGACGTGGCTGGGTCGGGAGTTTGCAGATGATTGTCCGACGCCAGATGGCGAGGGAAGGTTCGAAAATTCTTGCGACCTCATCGATGATTGGGGAAAGGGCTTGACGTTTTATGCGCGGAAAGAGTGGGCTCTTCGTTGCTGTGTCGGCGTGCTTTTTGGACCTTTCCTATTGGATTATGTCCTTTCCCCTGATTGTTGCGAAGGTTGTAGTAGACTTGTCTTGTTCCGACGCTGTTTGTCTTGTTGTATATCAAAGATACAGATGAACTGTAACGCGGGCGCTTACTCATAATTTCAATGTTAAGCAATCAATTAAAGAGCTCAGAGTTGTTCGTATAGTGAGGTGAGGATCATCGCTTTTGGGCCCAGGAGCTGCTATCAAACGCTTGTTAAGGTTCTCAGCCAGCCATGATATGGCCGGGAGCTGCCCAATAGGCCATGGTGTCGCCAAGAGGAGGACAACATGGTGCTCTGAGATATATATGCCATCGGTTCCCTTTTCATCTCCTGCATCTCTTTCATATGCATCGATTGTCGCGACAGATCTTTTGCCGTTTTCTTTTTATTCCGAGATGATTGCTCTTGTAGAGCCCTGAGCTGGTCTCGTTATCTCTCCAGCTATCGGCTGCTCCGTGCGCCAGGCACAAGCTCCCCGTTTTCAGGGACCTCGGCGCCGCATGCCGTGCTATCGGCCGTCAATCTCGACACCCGAAATGACCTGCCCAGATCGCACGAAGCGGGGTTCCTGAAGGAAGAGGCGACGATGACAAACCTCACGAGGGCTTTTGAGTGTTCCGCGATACACCGTGGATCCTAAACGGCCACAGAACGGGTCTCATGCGGGTCGCGCAGCCGGACATGGCCACCTTCCTAATGAGCATCCATCCGGCTTTCTTGGCGAGCGTGATCTTGCCTCCGCCGGCATCCACCCGCATGAGTTCTCTCTCCAATTGCGCTGCGGGAACCTCGCAATTGAGCGCCACTATCAGGCGTGCCCAGACGCCGCCCAGGACTCGACCGGAATGAAGCAGGCATTGGCGCGGCTTGTCTTTACCAGCTGCTTGATCAAGCATGAAGAGTGGAGAAGCCATGGGCGAATGATATGAGCTTGTTCATATTGAGCTGCTTGGCAGACAGGGCGTTGATTGCGAGTCCACGCGATGGCCGCAGAATTGGTTGACGGAACAGGTCCACGGAATCTGTGCATGGCGACGCATGCACGACCTGACGATCGCTGCAACAGAGATCTATAAAGGGCACGTTCCGCACTCCAGAGAGAGGACACGCCGCAGCTTGCTTCTACCATCTCAAACACTCGAGATAGAGCAGATTTGTCAATATGAGGGTTACTCTCGGTCTCGCTGCGCTCGCCGTTGGTGCTGCAGCCGTCCCTACGGCGGAAATCAGGCAACGCCAGGATGGTCACAATGCCAAGCCATGCCCCAAGAAGCCTCTGGTCACGAAGGTATGAACTTCAACCCCCAACAGTCGCGTTGAAACTATGCTAATGATCATTGTAGGCAGCTCTCCAGAAGGACATCACCATCAAGAAGTTGATGAGGGGTGCTCAGCAGCTTGAGGACTTTGCCTACAGCTACCCAGCCCGTAACAGGATCATGGGAGGAGAGGCTCACAATGACACCGTCAACTGGCTGAAGAACGAGCTCGAGTCTACTTCATACTACGATGTCACGCTCCAGCCTTTCTCCAACTATGTCATGCTGAACGGCACGCTCAACAAGTTCACCATCGACGGACGTATGATCAACTCCACGATTCTTGAGTACTCAGCCTCTACCGATGGGCTCGTCACCGCACCCATCGTTCCCGTCAACAACCTCGGTTGCGAGGCGTCTGACTTTCCCGCGGAAGTATCCGGCAGCATCGCACTCATCTCGCGCGGTGAATGTGAGTTTGGACTGAAGTCTGCTCTTGCTGGAAGCGCTGGCGCCGTAGCTGCTATCATCTACAACAACGTTGCTGGCACTATCAGCGCAACTCTTGGCCCCCCTCCCCGCCCGGAGGGTGACTACGTTGCGAGTGTTACTCTGTCTCAGGCAGAGGGCCAGGCAATCATTTCCAAGGTCGCAGGCGGTGCTACTGTCACCGGCGAGTTGGACGTTTTGACCGACGTCCAAATCATCACCACGAACAACGTCCTTGCTACCAGCAAGTGCGGTGACAAGGACAACCAGCTTTGGCTTGGTGCTCACACTGACTCTGTTGGTGCTGGCCCTGGAATCAACGACGATGGCTCGGGAACCGTTGCCATCCTGAACGTCGCTAAGTCGCTTGCTAAGTACAACGTCAAGAACGCTGTTAGCTTCGGCTTCTGGTCTGGCGAGGAGTCCGGTCTTCTCGGCTCCACCTTCTTCGTCGAGAGCCTCTCTCCTGCGGCAGCTCTTGACATTCGCGCATACCTCAACTTCGACATGATTGCGTCTCCAAACTACGTCCACCAGATCTACGACGGTGACGGCAGCGCATACGGTCTGAGTGGACCCGCTGGAAGCGACCAGATTGAGACTTTCTTCGAGGGTTACTTCAAGGATCTCAACATCTCCAGCAACGCTACCGAGTTCAACGGCCGTTCCGACTACGGTCCTTTCCTTGACGCCAACATCCCCGCAGGTGGTACCACCACTGGTGCTGATGAGGTCAAGACCGTCGAGGAGCAGGCTATCTGGGGTGGAGTCGCAGGAGAGATCCTTGACCAGAACTACCACCAGGCTGCCGACAATGTCACCAACCTCAACGAGGGAGCTTGGCTCCTACACTCTCGCGGTATTGCTGCCGCGGTTGCCAACTACGCTCTCTCATGGGAGGGTTTCCCAGCCCGGGTGCCCGTCAACGGCACCGCGAAGAGGAGCGTCCGTGAGCCTCACGTTCACAGGGGCGTCAAGGGCGCGAAGGTCACTTTGAGCCTGTTGTAAGCTCGCGGTGATGCAGCTTTGTATATAGTCAACAATGATGATGTCAACGACAACATGAATAATACATTTCAATCACACATCCACTTTGTCTTGATACACGTGTAGCTGGTCACATTTTGACGCAACCAAAGTATCTGACAAGCTACAACATCAAATTTCGTACAAAAAAACGGAACATAGACGTCAGCTTTGTAGTGTCGTCTTACTGTAGCGCTGAGCCTCATCCTCATGTCAGCCGCCGAACCTGCACAGCCCCCACAGCCATGTCAATCGGCTAAGCGGCTCGCGAAAGCTGCTAACCGCGACACCGCCGCTGAGCCGCACGCGTGTGGAAATGAGGCTTATTGCGATCAGCTGAAGTGCAGATAATGGGAGCCTACTTTTGGTTTAGACGTATATGTATCGCGTTTGGGACGCGTTCGTGTGGGTTGTTGATTCTTGGGCCTTGACTGTCAACAACGATTTCCAAACACCTGCATATCTACCAGCGCGACGATACCAATCGGTGGACTAACAGAAGCTTTCACTGCTGTGCAGACTCCCGATCTTTTGAGAGTCTGAGATAATCGCCATCCCGCGCGTGTTTCGGGCGTCAACGACGTGACAAAACAAAGGGTTGCCTGAACGAGGCTGTGCCCACCGCGCGACACTTTTGATCACCGCGCCTCCAGGCCATATACACGCATCACGCCGCAACTTTCTGGTCCTTCGTCCCTCCAGCTCTCACAACCTTAAGACCTTAAGGAACCTCCGTTGGAAAAAAATCAAAAGATCAAGAACAGGGATGATAGAAATCATGGACCACAACAGCCCATGCTACGAGCCCTTCCCAGCCCTAGATTCCGCCCCCACAACCCCACAACACGACCTCGATGCGCCTATACCCTCAACCTCAGATATCGCCACATCAACATCAGAGCCCTTCTCAGTCCACTACGAAGGACCCCTCTACACAGAAATCAACATCCCACTCCCCCGTATCACAACACCACGCACCACATCTCCATCCCCACCAACCCACCCATCACCACCAACCAACCCCTCCGTCTCCTCCCCACCCGAAAAACAACGCGGACGCTCCCGCACACTCTCCTCACTATCCCCCTTCCGGCATCGCAGCTCCTCATCCGCATCTACATCTGCGTCTGTAACGTCGCCAACCTCACCCACATCCCCTTTCTCCAAGACCAGCGACCGGAACAGCGAAGACTGGCCGCGCATCCGCAAAGATGTGGTGAAATCGCGGGAAGTAAACGCGATGATGAATCTGCGACATCATGGTAAAAGGGGGCGGAGCGGCACGATCGATGCGTTGGCGGTTGTGCCTGCGGTTTTGGTGTTGAGTGCGGAACTGTTTACGCCAGGGGGTGAGGAGACAGGGGAGGGGAGGAGGAAGGATAGTGGGGTTGGGAGGTGGGAGGAGGGTATTAGATGATGGGATTGGAGAGGGTGAGGATGGATTATGTATTTGTACTGTAGTACTTTAGCACTCGTGGTATAGGGTGAATGGGGGATATAGAGGCTGAGGGCCGGGGATAATGGATTAGACTACGATTTAGAGGGCTTGGTGTAGATAGAGAAAGCTGGTGTGCTACAGCGTTGTAATAGGTGACGAGCAGAGTGGAAGAATTGCTCTCAACGATTAGGAGAGTGTGTTAGTGAGGAGTGCTTCATAGCCCAGTGTATCATAGATGAACGAATACATCGAATCACAGTCACAGCAACATCCGCACAAGTGAAAGATAACAAGACACCCAACATTCTATTTTGGACCCGGCCATAAAACACACAGAGTCATATGAATACTCAAGTTTTATAAAGAACAACCTCCCCAACGCCAGTCCATGCACGTATGCTCATAATGCAGGTACAGGTATTTGATATACTGCTCCTCAGCAGTCTATAAACATAAAAGCACGATAAAGACACCCCTCATGTCCATATTCCCAATGAGCGCAGTCGACAGAGAGTGTGATCTTTGACATACCAGCAACTCTATCGACCCAGTTTTTCTTTCCTACTTTTCGCAAGTGTACTCTGTGACAGAATCTGAGCGTAGCATAGCGGGGCAGATAGCACGGTCTCCCAAGAAACGGATACTACATGAGTACAGGTACTAACTGTAGTCGAACAGCACGCTAATGCTCTCGCCGTGGTGGACGCGTCGAATAGCCTACAGCATGTCAGTATAAGTCTTGAAATCGGTGGATGGGCCTGAATGTACCTCAGCAAACACGTTGCCGACCTCGAGGACCTCCAACTTGGGGCACCGGCTCTTGTGATCCTCCTGGGGCACCGTGTTGGTCACAATGACCTTGTCCAGTGCACTAGCGTTGATGCGCTCGATAGCATCTCCACTCAGGATACCGTGTGTAATGAGCGCAATCACCTGCGTAGCGCCCTCCTTTTTCAGGAGTTTTGCCGCGCGGGTAATGGTGTTGGATGTATCCGCCAAGTCGTCGACCAAGATAGTTGTGCGCTCCCGAACGTCTCCCACCAACATCATGGTCGCGTTCTGTCGGTCGTTGATCTGGGTAGGGCGGCGCTCCTTGTGGATAAGCGCAAAGGGCATGCCGAGGGCGTCGGCAATGGCGGTCGCGCGCTTCGCGCCTCCAGCGTCGGGAGAAACTACCACAGCTTGTTGGTAATTCGGGATGTTGAACTGGATGTATTTGCGGAGGAGATGGCGGCCGTACAAGTTGTCCACGGGGATGTCAAAGAAGCCCTGGTATTGGGGATCTAGGAGTTTGTTAGCTCAGCCATCTCAGGTCCTCCAAGATGGTACATACCGTGGAGATCCATCGTGATAACGTGGTCGGCGCCAGCGCAAGTCAGAAGGTCCGCAATAAGGGTACCGGCCTGAGCGACCCATTGGCGGTATCCAACCTGAGGCTCGAAGGCAGGAGGCTTTGTAGTTGTCGGCGCGCGCGTGATGCCGGGTGTTGGAGCAACTGAGCCGTTGGTGCCGTTGGCTCCATGGTCACCATTGAAGTATGCGCCCTTGTCGGATTTGCCGGAACTGCTCGAGTCGAGCGTCTCGGTGCGCTTGATGCCATTCTGCTTGACCGGGCTTGTAGGATCGGTGCGGCCGCCGTTGCGCTCGTCGAGCTTCATCCTACTGAGCTGGTGGTGCAGCGCGGCCGAGCCATTGGTGAGACCTGCGCTTTCCGCCTGCCCAGGGAAGGGCGTCTGAGGTCGCGAATCGAACGTGTACGTGCCGGTCCTCGAGCGCGTGCCAGGCACCTTGGAGAGGGGCGCGCCGGTCTTGTTGTAGGGAATGTCCGACTGGCGCGAGTAGGGGAAGAGAGGCAGGACGGCGGTGATGCGCTTGGCCGAGGCGGTGCGGCAGGCCGAAATGGTAATGAGAAGTCTGGAGGACGGTCAGGCACTTCACTCAACTACACCATGAGGATGGGCCTACTCCATCAGATGGTCGTTGACTGCGCGCAACACGAGACATTAGCGGGGTTCTTCAGATATCGCAGAGCACGCGGGCGTCGTGTTCCGTCCCAAGTGCGCTGCAGTACCACTGCGGCTAGGAATGCGCGCGCGACCTGCACGAGGGCTTCGTACCTTTACCGCCGCCGGACTGGATGATGAAGACATCCTTTCCTCGTACACTCTCCTCGATCTCGACACGCGTCTCACCACCCTTGAACTTGTCGAGGAGCACCTTGGCCTTGGGTATGCCGAGGTGGTTGCAGATGGTCCTATCGCCCAGTTAGTCACAGCCATGGCCCGCTTCTCGGCGCGTCGACTTACTCGGTGAGCTGCGGGTGGGAGCTGCCGCCCAGGACCACAATGTTCCTCATGTTGACGGCTGGTGGAGGTGGTGGGGTCGTGTGCTAACTTCGCGGCGGGCAGTATAGCAAGAGGAGGTTAGTGAAGGAAGGAGGGCCTTCGCGGAGAAATTCCTCTTATCGATAATGGAAAAGATTTAGTTCCAGGTTACTTTAAGGTTCCGCCCTGGTAATGCTTGGGTGGAGCAGTCGCAGCTCAGGCAGCTCAGGAATTGGGCAGCATGGTGAAAGATGGATGTCTGTCGTCACGGGCCAGAGAGGTTTTCGCTTCCTTCGGCTGTTGCACTTTTTCTGCCGAGCCCATGTCGCCATCCAACGCACCTCAAAGCTTCTAGAGCGCGGCATGGCTGCAGTCTGCACGGCATACATACCATAGTGAGCACACCGGATGAATGACTCGGCCTGCACGCCAGCTACTTCCGCGTTGTTGCGCAGGAGAGCGCAGCTATGGCGCTTCACCTGCAGCGGCTGGCGGTCAGTAATCGCGCCATCCTCAGTGGTTGCAGTTCGCGTCAGTGGACCAAGGGAAGGGTCCGTTAGCGCCTGCCGAAGTCGCTCTCTCACGTGCCTTCCTACCTGACTTTCTGGGAAGGAAGGATACACCATCCCTTGGTCTTAACGTTACATTCCAGAAATCCTACATAAGTCTAGTTCACCGGCTCATGGCACGTCGTACAGTCCTGCAGTTATCACCGAATGTGGCATCTTGCGCCCTTGATGTGCCTTCGAACAGACAATGCGGATAAGCGTGCGGTATTATATTACATTAGAGGTTTTAGTCTAAGTGCCATAAAGCGGTTCGTCTACAAGGGGTATATGCTAGTCGTCGTTTCATCCATCATGTCTTCTACTCGTTCAACTTGGTTCTCGCTCTTCGATCTCTCGCACTTCTTCCTCCCCCCGCGGTGTGCCCAGCCACTCCACCCTGGGTCGACGCACTCCCTCGTCGACTTCCTGTAGCACCACTGACAAGACTCGATGTCGGACTGTAAGGTCTCCTGTGCGCGCTCGACATGCTGCTATCCCGCGTTCCGCTCATCGAAAGGACAAGATGCGCGCGCGAAGGTGGTGAGATAGGATGGTCGTTGACGTAGAAACCACCAGTTCCATCTTGGGTAATCGTAGGCGGGGCCGAGACGAGCTTGTTGCGTTGCTGCGCGTGATCTGGAGAGACTGGCCGCGCATTGACTTCCTCAACAAGCCCTGGTTCTAGGTCGACGTCTACAACACCGTCTTTACTGGTACGTAGTACTGCGGGCGCGAAGTCATGAGACTGGATGGCTTCCTGGAGTAGATCCTTCTCTGCGAAATCAGACCTGTCGCTAATAGCAGGCGATTTGGTTTGGTCTTTCGTGATGTTTGAAGCAACCATGGTCATGCTCTGCGTCATCTTGCTTCCGTTACTGTTGTTCGGAGATCGTCTGACTCCTGTGCGTGCGGCCGTTGTCGCGGACTGATGTTGAAGAAGTTGTGCCGTTTTGCGACCTCCAGCTGTACGAGCAGAGTGATAGGTCCATGGGGGAGGGTTCGTGTCATCGAAATTACCCATGTCAAACAGTTCCCTCAATATTGTCCATGTGAACGGTAGATTGGCAACAAGGATGGCTGTGGAGGATTCTCGGACGTACCAGTAGATCCATGTTGATTTGTAAGGATTGCTGAAGGAGTAGTAGCTGTTCATAATGCTCGCAGCCACGACAAAGATACCGAGAGAGAAGATCCCACAGAGTATAAGCTTTCTCTTCATGGGTAGCAAGGATCGGATGAGCATCTGCAATGCAATACATAGCATGATCAAATCCGAGGATATGTTGAAGACAGCTTTGGTGATCCGGTGGTGTACCAAGGCGTTGCACTGGAAGGAAGTAGTCGGCACTGCGTAGTATGCAGAAAAGGGTCGACACCAGGCTGAGAAGTAGAGGACCTCTATAACGACGAATCCAAGTGCCGTATATGCGGCGAGCAGTTTGATGGCGATGTTCTCTTTCTGAAGCGCCGTCCGTGTTATGCGATGGTACATGATCAAAAGACATGCTTTGCAGGCCCAGATCACGGCGATATGCATCTGTTCTACAACGACCACGAGCTTGCTTCCGAACCGCCGTCTCGACAATTCTTCCATAGTCAGTGCGCTGAAGTCGAAATTCTCCGGTTCCAGGTTCGACTGGACTTTCAGCCACCGATTCGCGAGCACAATCATAACGGTGTAGGCGGCGGTGACGAAGAGGCCCATAGTCCAGTCATCGATCTGTAGGCCTTTGACGGATCGAAAGAGCATCTTTCGCGAAATCCTGCATGCCGAATCTGGTCAGTAAATGGATGTACATAGTACAGTGAGCGAATCATGATCTTGAGATCGCAGACAGTTCATGCGAGCAAGCAGAAGGCAGAGCATCGATGCGCTCAGCAATCCAACGTGGCCCGCCAGCGCATCGCATCGCATCGCATGCTGAGCTGCGTTCTCGAATGCGAAACCACAACATGAATGTAGACTGATGTAATGGGATAATGCACGGAAACTGCACTCACAGTCTTGCCGCAATCATGCATACAGCGCATGTATACCAGATCCATGATTCCTGGTTGAACGGTAATGGCATTGTCGAGTTGCAAGGCGGTCTGCGCCGCTGACGCCAGAGTCGCTATCCGTTAGGCCGCTTGAGGTTTAGAAGACGAGATCGACGAAGGATCATGTTGTAGAGCAACACGATAATCGAGGCGCATCCAGAGCACGCAGGAGAGGTGATGTAAATATCCCGAGGGTAGAACTGGTCAGGGAGGAGGGGTGTAGATACACACCGACAAAAAAACAAGGAGGAGGGAGGAAAAGAAAGCTGACAGTGTCGACATGGAAAGGCAAGGTGAGAAGCTAACCTGTATAGCCTGCAGCTGATGCACACGGCAGTCTTCCATTTGCAGCCATCAGCTCGATCCAGGGCTTATCGCAACCATCTGCCGCGCCTCTTGAGCCTGATGGAGGTCCCGCGTGGGGTCGCCGATGCTTGGGCCTGGCGTCGTGTCGGGCCAATTCCAAGGTCGTGCGTGGCGCGTGTGAAGGATAGCTTCAGGTGCGGCTAGTGATTGCTTTTGCGGGGTTCCGCGCGGTTGACACTCTGAGCACCAGTGCGACCGACGCTCTAGACGTCTCGTGGCGTCCTATCCTGGGTGCGCAATCACGATAGTTGCATCTGTGTATAGTATTGTGGTTGTGATATCATGAGCAGTGCAGGCCAAGAGCCAGCTGGCTGAGGCTGTGCCTGCGAGGCTTGCAGTACACGAGGCTGACGGCCGCAGCTGTTACCAGCAACACAAACTCGAGCGCAACGTAAGATTGGACGACTACTGTTTTCAAAGGCGGTAAATGAGCGTTAATGCGCATTAAGGGCATGGTGATGTTGGGTTCATATTTGCATTTGCCGCTGGCCCTGGGCGAGTGATGGCACAGGGAAGGAGGAGTGAACTGCACGCGGGAACTCGGGAAGTCGCCACTAGTCCAACGCGCACCGTTCAACTCACGTCTCCTTAGCTCCTAAACGCCACTTCGCCTGTTCTCTTCAAAGAACAAATATTCGGGGTCTCGCATTCTGTACCCTGCTGTCAAATGGGATTTCGACAACGCTTATCGTAGATGACACCCCTCCGCTCCTAGACACTTTGATGGTTTCGCTCGGAAAGTTCCTTCACGTTAATATCGCGATTCAACCCCCAGTCGGACCGCAGCACCACCGAATGCGAGGAACGGTCAAGAGATGATTCACAGATCGCACAGACTTTGTGGTCGAGAAATTGCGATGCGGCGCACGTTGACGATGCTACAGGAACGCATGACGAGCATCACAAACTACTCAAAACAGCGCACGACGATTTTCTTTCTTCATCTTCAAAGCGCACACACGGAGGATATGCTGCCTTAGCATCGAAGCATTCGTACTCGAACACCCTTCCACCGCCTTCCGTACCTGCCAATCCCTTCTGGAAGACCTTAGTGCATGATCGAGAAACAGTCGATCGCGGTCGCTCACGAGATGGTACTAATCGGTGTACACTTCACCGAACACGCTCTTCTTTACCCATTGTATATCCTTTTCGTCAAAGCTCTTCCCGTCATCATCACGAGACCTTACCAGAATCCGGCTGCTTCCTTCCGATACAGTCGTCTTGGACATCTATCGCGTATCGCGCAAAGTGGTGCTCGCGCGTCACCTTCCGATGAGCACGGTTTGGGAAGCGGTACCATACTTTCCGCTGATGGGGTGTATCACTGACGCGGACATGTGCCTTCTCGGAACGCCCATGCTGAGAGATCGCCTGTTAATTGCGATTGGTTTTAGTAGGGAGACATACGCGGGACGCGGCAGTGATCGATCATTGCTGTTATCATGGTGAGCATACTAGACGACGGGGTCTCCGTCACAGTATGTACCCTTCATTCTCATGACTATTGTCCCCACTTTATTCTTCATTGTCAATCAAGAGCCCTGACCGATCATGTCTGGCTTATTTGTCACTACTGTCGTCACTGATCTGGCCCTGTAGACAGTGCAAGTGGCATAGCGGTAAGAATCGCACCTGAAGTGGACAAACAACATCATTATCATACGTGTCCACCAACCATTCGCCTACCAGAAGTCGGCCTTCACGGCATCGGAGACTTCCACTCTCCATGAACTTCCCAACTCATCACATCTCTTTCTCCTCCAGATATCGCAATCGCTCTCTGGGAGACGCGTTTGCTCACTCATCATCCGAGATATCCTCCAATTGTTCGACAAGAATAGGCTGTCCCTTTCTCGCAACCATTTTCTGCATACCGCTAGTACATTCTATCACGGCGTAACTCCAGGAACCGAATACTAGGAGGGTTCTCGTAGCATCAACGAAACTCTGGAAGATGCTAACTCTGTCCCCGCTGAGTCTCATGTTCACGAGGTCGCCCAGGCGTACTGTGATGACGTCTTCCACCGCAGGAGACACGCCAACGGTGTTATGGCGTCCATGCAAACAGATCTCAACGACTCCATTCCTGAGCACCTTGTTATAGGCCCGGCTCCTGCGGCAGCTCATGTGTACAAGCCAATGAAATATTTCGTGCTCGTCGCGATACCGATACGTGGACCGTTTGGTAACGATGAATGGGAACGATTTCCACTTCATGCGGAAAAGAGGCCGAATATCGATACCGGGAGCTTCAACGGCGTTGGGAGTCTTGAGGCGGCGCACGGCTTTCAGAGTAGTGATGATAGAGTCATTGATGGCTGCATCAGAGAGCGGAACGATCTCAAGGTACTCGGCAAGCTCCTCGATGTTGATGATAGGGCGGTGGGCTTTCGTGTAAAGCGGCCAGAACTCGGAGCGGAATAGGCGGTTTGTCTGAGCAAGGCCGAGGAATTGGCGACTAGGGTGACGGTCTCTCAGAGAATGTTTCGAGCGTTGGGAGCGGCCGTGGCGCTTGCGGCGCAGCCTGAACCCTCGATCTTCTTCTCCGGCGACGATTATGCTGTAAATGTGGTTGCGCAGTTCTTCGCGATGGGTTAGTACACATGGATCTCGGAGCAAATATGACGGTTGGCTTACCACCGGGCAGCTCCAGAAGCCGCGACACCACATCCACATCGGAGGCATCGGTCATTTTTGTATCGACATCCATGTTGAGTCGTGCCAGTTGAGCTCGCTTCTTAAGTGGTTGGTAGAGACAGTGTCTGTAAGAAACAGACCAGAAGGGGTAATTAAAAGGTGACCGGGGCGCACACAGACCAACTGAGAAGACTGATTAGGCAGCTCTCGAAGCTCCGTCTCTTTCACGATGACGTGGATCCACATTCGCTGTGGCCTTCCGCACCTAAACGGTCCCCAGATTCACTCGGTCTTAAGGTCACAGCTCGTCATCCGTCTCGTGATCTCCCCAGCCCCTTGCACTGGCGCCTTTCCCTACACCTCTCGCCCCTCCAAACACACTTCACCCTCAAAAAAATTGTGCGACGCCGCCGGTCCGCTATCGGGCATCGAGAAATCCATCTCTGCAACCAGCGCCCGCTCAACATGCGCATGCACGATGGCAGCGCGCGAGATTTCGATCTCAGAGTCGAGCTCCACCGTAACGAGGATAAATGGTTTGCCACTCTTATAGCGAGACTTCGAGATGCTAATCTTGGCGATGGCTCCGGGAGCCAACAGATGGTGCCATGAAGGCAGACATGCGAGCATGCGGCATAGGACGCCAGTGATAAGGTCGTTTCTGTGGCTCTTGTATCCTGTGTCGAGGAACCAGCGGCCTGTGACATCGCAGGTGTAAGGGTTTAGGCGGAACAAGAGTGTTACGTCGAGACCTGGGCTTGACGAATCGAACCCCGTCACCGCTGGTCGATGTCCTTTTTTAATTTTGGATAGAAGAGAGATAAGAGCGGTGTATCTCTCGTTCTTGCCAGCGAGACCCGTTCGATAGAAATGGCGTAGTTGGGAGAAGTGAAAGTAACGAGCGTTGGTGTACAAGGGCGAGAATTCTGCACGCGTTGTGCGGTCGACTTGTGTCAGACCCACGTACTGATGCTTTGGATATCGCTCTTGGAATGGCATTGCTGGATTGGGTTTATAGTTCACCCATATCATGGATGCTGGTTCGTCTTCTAGGATACAGTCGTATATGCGGTTTCGCAGTTCTCCTGGTAGTTGCGAGAAGAGACATGTATAGCCTGGCCACACATCAGAGGTCGTAGGAGAGCTGATTGGCATCTGGGTTTCAGCGCTCATTGCGGAGGTACGTAAGATGCTCTGCAGGGTAGGTGCAGAGTTTGCATTGGTGTAGAAGATCATATCCATGTTGTGTGTAACGGTGTCGAGTACTCTTAGTCTCGCGTCCGATACTCTCACTCTTGACTTAGCACGCAATACTTTCAGTCTTGTGCGTAGTACTTTGAGTCTTGCGTTTGACACAGCGATTCTTGTGTTCGAGACCTTGAAAAGTTCTCGTAGACCTGAACTTCTGCCTTAACACGTTGATTCTTGCGTCCTGTTTCTCAATATGCCGAGTGAAGTGATGTCAAGACGGTGTGATGTAGAAGAAGAGAAGAAAGGAAACGAGCAGCCGTCATATATACTCCCTCGGTACTAGCTCACACAATCGTTACGCGAGCGAAGCCACATTGAATCTAGCTTCATCCAATTTATCGTGGTACTGCGGCGACCCGGATGACGAGTTGTAGTTGGGGAGCCACTCAGAAATTCTGCGCAAACCTAACAACAGGAGCGGTACCTAAACGTCTCTTTGAACAAGTGGAAGGGCCCACATAAGTGTGTCAAGTGGGAAGAAAATTGTCAGAAATATATAGGGTCGTTGACGGGCTAAAGCTCCGGTGACAGTATACCATGGTAGATCTCGGCAAGCAACCAAATATGATTAGCCACCCACCATGGTGGTGACTACGTGCATTAAATGCTGTTTATAACACTAAGGAGTAAACTGGTATCTGTCCCTTTTCTCTACCACCACTCCTCCACTTCCTCTGCTTCGTCATGCTTCTCGTGATTCACATCACGCAAACAACTCTCGCAGTCCTAATCGAAGTTGAAGGCATTCTGATAGACCTTCTTCTCCTTCTCCTTCCGCGCCTGCACCCTCTTCTTGACAACATCCAACTCCTTGACAATTGCCGCATCGCCCGGCGCAAGCTTGAGCGCCGCATTCAGATCCGCCAACGCCTCGTCCTCGTTCTTCTTGCCCGCCTTAGCCTGCGCTCGCCTGAAGAGCGCCTTTGCCTTGTCTTTATCCGTGATGCCCTCAATGTCCAGCGCCTTGGTCGCGCTCTCCGCCGCGTCACTATATGCACCCGTCTTGTTCTGCAACAGCGCGCTGTTGGAGTAGAGGGAGATCTTCAGGGCCTGAAGTTTGGGCCAGAGGTCTGCGGGGTCGTCGTCGAGAGGGGCGGGGTACTCGTGGAGGTAGCGGATACCTTTTGAGTATTTGGTAATGCCTAGTTTGAGGTCGCCCTTCTTGAACGCGTCGTTGCCCATGTCTTTTAGCTTGGTAGCGATTTCGAGTATCTCCTCGCCTTTCCACTCATCGTCGCTGCTGGCCTTTTGGTCTTCGGGGAAGTCTTCGTAGGGGTCGCCTGTTGCGTCCGAGATCTTTTCTGTCGCTTTGTCGTAGTCTTCGCCGGTGAGCTCGCCGCAGTCAATGATGGTCGCGTCGTGGAATGGCTTGTCGCCGCTCTGCGTCTTGAGGTTCTCAATCTGGCGCACGATGCTCTTGCCGTTGATGACCTCGCCGAAAACAACGTGCTTCTTGTCGAGATGCGGTGTGGGGACCGTGGTTACGAAGAACTGGGAGCCGTTTGTTCCTGGGCCGGCATTCGCCATACTAAGCAAGAACGGCTTGTCGTGGACCTTCTCGAAGTTCTCGTCTTCAAACTTCTCCCCATATATACTACAGAGGTGAAGATACCAAGTCAGCGTATGTCTCACATGCATTTTGTACGGCCACAGCTTACCTCTCACCCCCTGTGCCATTGCCCTGTGTGAAGTCACCGCCTTGAATCATGAAGCCCTTGATGACGCGGTGGAAGCCCGAGTTCTTGTAGTGCAGCGGCTTGCCGGATGCGCCTTCGCCTTTCTCGCCGGTACATAGTGCGCGGAAGTTCTCGGCGGTCTTGGGGACGATGTCGCTGTACTAAAGGGTTGTTAGTTTCTATGTTTGAGCGGATTGGAATGTATGCGCGCGCAAAGTATGCGAGGTTGGGGAACGTACGAGCTCGAAAGCAACACGGCCGGCTTTCACGCCGCCGATGGCGATGTCGAAGAAGACGCGAGGGCGCTCTGAAGCTTGTTAGCAAGACTCTCTTGGACTCTCAAAGCCTATAGATAGGCTTGTGTTGAAGTTACTTACTCGTGTCAGCCATAATCGCGAAATCGCTATAGTTGTTGGGTGGGTATGTCGTAATATGAGCGAAGGATATCAATGTTCAAACACTGAAGATATCGACGGAGTTGCAGGAGTCGGAGTTTAAGTGCGAGGCTGAAGAAAAGCACGGTGATCGCTGTCCAGAACTTTCTACGGAAGCTACAGCCTACAGCTTCATGCCGCGCCAAGCCCGCCTTTACACATCGGTGCGACCATTGGCAGGCGCAACCAGGTTGGCTGGATTCTTTAAGAAGACGGTACTCTATACATAAAACAGCATGACACGTCTTGACGGCATAATCACTGGTGAAGGTGCTTCTTTGAGCTTGTTGTGTCTTGTAAACATTGACATGATGCTCGCGATGAGGGGCAACGCGGGGCAGTGACCGGCCTTCGTCTTAGCTACACTCCGAAAGCTACACGGCAAGCCTCAGCGCTAAACTCGCAAACATTACCTGAACGGTCAGCAATAATATCATGGCATATGCATCTTGATGTTATTAGACTCCCATGCGCAAATCTACTCCTCTTTGCTCACCGATCTCATCTAACTCGAAAATAATAGTAAGCTCAAAAACGCCATTTGCAACCAGGTATCCACGCGTATAATAATAGAAGCACTTTTCGAGCTGCTGCCAACGCCAAAACATGATCTCTATGCGCACAACATTATCGTCTTGCCGACATGGAGAAAGGGAGAGCTGTCGATACTAGCTCATTGTGTTCGTAGTGGTAGGTGAAACCACCCTGCAGTGTCCGTCGCAGCGCATTCAGCCTCTGCAACTTCCACCACTTGTCGATTCTGACCTCGACATTCTTGTTGATCTTGACCTTCATCCTGCCCGCCCCGTAGGCCTTCCCAGTCTCCTCATGTAGGGCGGTGGAATAGGCTGGACCGCGCGATGGCTTCTCAACCGAATTGCGGATGTCTGCGAAGGACGAGTGTAACGCTTTGCGATCCTTCTTGGATATGCGGCGTGTCGAAACGTTGGCGAGTTCGTCGAGCGTGTGCATGAGCTGATCCTGTCGTCGCCAGACTGTGTAGCGCTTGACTAACCGCTCGCCGTCGCGGACGTGCTCTGGGTCGTCGGAGTCTGCCTCTTCCTGCACCTGTTCGTCCTCTTCTTGTGGAGTGAGGGACTTTTCGTACAGGAGCGCGATGTTCTCGCCTGCTGCAATCTGAACACCAGAGTCGGCACTTTCAAGCTGCTCGACAAAGGCCTCCATTGCAGCTTCCGTTTCTTCCTCCAGATCATCGATTTCGGTTGCGAGGAGACCCCACTCTTCCAAAGCGGCAATCACGACATTGCCCTCGTCCTGGGCGTCGATAGATGCGCCGTCTGACTCTATGATCTCAATGAAGACGTTCATGATGTCCAAGATCTCATCGTCGCCGGCCCCAGCAAAGAAGGCAGTTGTGCCGAGTGTGTGGATCGCGTTGACTTTGATTGCGACTGAGGGGGAGGACTGTATCGATCGCTTGAGTTGGTCGGAAACGTCGTCGTAGATGCTATCGGAATCGAGAGTTACGGCAGTGACAGCGAGGGCTGGCGAGCGTTAGTAGAGGACTATCTATAGTGTTTGCGCGTGTACATACCTTTTAGGGCTTTGACAACCTCAGCCTCCGTCGTCTCCTGTCTGATGCTCTTAATCATCGACGAGACGAGCTCGTTCACATGTCCCTCAACCTCATCCCTCGCATAGCGGGCCATGAGTACGTGTGCGTAGGCATTCAGGCTTTCGGTGCGCCCCTCGGTGCTGCTGCGCTTGAGGTTGGTGATTTGTTCGATGCGCGTGTTGAGCTCGGCCTTCCACGCGTCTTCAGGTATGTTGATATCTTCGCCGTTGAGTACATCGTCGATGGATGCCGTGCTGTGAGGATGTCAGTACATGTTCGCGCGAAGGTGGCTAGACGCGATGATGTCACCGGTGCCGTCGCGATGTGGGGAAAATCAAAAAAGTTATGCGCAGACTGAAACTCACCTCCATGCAGTTCCGTCGCTGAAGCCGTCTTCGTCTGAAGAGTCCTGGCGACTGCGACTGGCGGCGCGCGACTGTGCTGGCGAGCCTGCTGCCGACGTTGTCTTTGAGGCTGTCGTAGATACGACGCGCGAGCGGGCCTTGCGCGACATAGTCTTATGGCTCTCGAGAGCCTGTTTTCGGAGGTCGCGCATCTTGGGCTATGGGTGATAAATTTCTGGGGGAAACTGTAATATATGCCTGTAGAGGCTGAAGTTTGCTCGGTGTGGCGGAACCAAGATTGGACTGCGGGGAAAACAAGGTGAAGGCGCAGTTATTGAAACGGTAAATACTCTGTGAACTGGATTGTGTAGAAATATAAGTGCGGTGTGAAAGACATGAGTATGAGTCAGAGCAAAATGCAACCAAGGTAGAGGTTGCAAAGGTACGAGGACGTTTGGTGGTGCAGGAGGCAACTTGCAAGTGTCAGATGTTCATCCATCCATACGACCTCTCCCGATTCCATGGCTGCCCAAAGTGCGCTAACCAAGACCTACGTCATTACAGTTCTGTCTTCTTCCAAACGATGTCCACGGGTACCTAGGTTACTAATCTCCTTCCTACCTGCGGCAATATCGAAGCATGTAGTGAATTAGCAATCACCATTATCCAGCAAACACCCAGCGCTTCGCGACGATCTTGTGTAAGCTAAATGGCCGCATTGCTGATTGGCTCTACGCTCTCCAAGGCTTTCGAGGTACCAAAGCACCTAGCTCACATGGAGAATACTTGGTCTTCACCTTGACGGCCTGAACGACTAATTATACACTCGAAGGAAGCCGCGCACAGTCATCAACGGACCGGTCGCGAGGGCGATGCAGACAGCATCTCAGCTACTGTGCGACCATCCCCAGCCCTACCTTGGCGTCACATTCCTCCGATGACCGATCAGGCCTTCTAAGACATCATTGAGGCTCAAGTGTTGCGATGGGCGGCTCAAGCATCGACCCGCTCAGCGTTCGAAATAGCTGCGGCGCAGACAGCGTTCGCGTAACCCACGACCGTTTGGTGCACCGCAGGATCTCTCGATGGATATGAATAGACAGCAGGATCACGGGGCCAAATGCCCCACGCCCGCCGTGTGTTGCAAGCGGCACAACCACGTGGAGTCAGAACTGTGCCAGCGGATCGCTCCCCGCGGCTCGGGCTGAGACGTGTTGCTGGACCTCGACCTCAGCCTCGGGTTTAATCTCCATCTGGCAACCGATGCGCCGCGGACATAGGTGTTAGGGTTGGTCATGGATGCGGCACAGAACCTTATCACAAGCTCAGTCGACTGTGCATACGTCTGCGAACTTGTGTGCTTTGGGTGAGTGAGCGTCCTCGCTTCACCTGGCATCGGCTTATCTATGACAGCGGCAATGTTGGTCTCGGCACCACGGCACCCATGTTCTTAACCCCCAGAACTTCACCATCAAAGCAGTGCTTCTTGCGACCCGGCATCTCATTGCAGGACTGTGAACCGAACATACCCGTCACCGACGTAACGGTAGACGGCATCCAAGGCAGACGCCGCAACGTGGGAGATGAGGAAGCCTGCAAGGCTCATGCGGCACAGTACCAAGCCGCCACGCACGCAACCCCTTCCTTCGGGTTGAATGCACATCATTCATGCATCCTCATTGTTGGATTCCAAATCCCCTGTCCCTTCCTCTTCGCCTCGACGTCAGCTTGGTAATAAAGCGCACACGTACACACATACGCACAAGACAATGCGACTGCTGTGGGGAGCATGGACAGGTCAAGCGAGGCTTATGCGGCGCAGTCACCAGCACACCTGTCTAGTCGACTTACAGCAACTGTTGGCGAGTCCGTAGGCAACCCGCATCTGGATCCTCCGCAATACGCGAGCAGGATCACGAGCAAGCATCAAGGATGCCAATCCTGCCAGGGCACCGGTCAACGTTCTTGCAGCACCTCGAAGACACAATGTCACGATGTCCAGAGGCAACCTCCGCTGACTAACGTCTTTAGGCAACCAATGCGCGTAGAGGGAGGCAGGAAGTGTACCTGCCTAGACAGCACTATCGTCGAAATAGCTGCTTGCGCAATCGAGATTGGTCTGCTCGTATAGACAATGTACAAGCTTACACTATGTCTTGCCATCCGGCCCGATTGATCAACAACATCGTATCAACGAACAAAAAACTCTGATATGTATTCTGTTTGTAGAGCGAGCAACCAGGCCAGAAAAATCTAAAATAGAACAACAAACTCCCAAAGCGCCTCTCAGGTTCTAGCCGTTCTAGTCTCCTAGCCTGAATCATGTATGTATATGCCCGGACCATGCGATGCTATGCAAACAAAATCAAACCAAGACTCTAAACAAACTGTGCAAACAATGCTATAACCAAGACGCAAATAAACGAGAGATCAATGCACACCGCATGTACTCTAACCGAAACCCCATGCCATGTCGTCGTTTAAGCCTCACCGCCTGTGGAATGTCTCCGGGTCAGGGGCCGGTGCTGCAAACAAGTCTCCGGTCCCACCAAGCAAGATGTCTTGTTCGGCAAGTTCCGCGTTTGTAAATGAGAGGGCATGGCGTTGTTGTAGTAGTAGTTGTTGTTGTTGTGACTGTTGTAGTGGTGGTGGAAGCGGATGCTGAAGTAACGAGGAATCTAGGCCTTGCTCTTGCGGAACGTCCAACCAGGACAACGTCGTTGTTGAAGACGCAGATGCCGGTGCAGTTTGAGTGCTCAAACGACTGATGCCTGCACTAGAACTCGCACCCCTGCTCCTGCCACCCGCTCTATCACCTCTTCTCGACGGGCGTTTGGCTACCCTACCGCGTGTGACGGTAGTACTACGACTTCCTGTCGACATCATTGACGTCGTCGAAGTAGTGGGTGCTCGTACAATCCCACGACCACCACTTCGTATACGCTGACCAATCCTCCCCTCGCCCTGTTCTTGGCCCCCCGCCCCCTCCCGCATACCCTCGTCAACCCTACACCCCAATCAGCGCCTCCTCTTTCTCATCCTCCCCCGCTTCCCTCCCATACGTGAAGTAGACTCACTGGTGAGATCCTCCCGCGCCACCTCCTTCGGGCCATCCAAAGGGGAAGGCGCTTCGCTCCCCTGGTCTCCGCTTGGGAATGTCCATGTGGTGGAAGTTGCGGAGGTGCTCGACTAGATGGTCGCGTCGTGTGAAGCCTTTGTCGCCTACGCGGTTGCAGCGCGGTACGTTGCAAGGGTACTCTGGGGTGCCTACGCCGTGGACGGTGGATTGGTGGCGTTGCAGGTCTGCGAGGCGGGTGAAGTTTGCTGAGGAGGTGCAGGAGGCGATGTCGCAGGTCCATGTTCTGTGGGGGAGATTGGTTAGTGGATGGGAATGGGGGAAGGGAGATGGAGTAATTACTTTGTTCGACTGCTGCTTCTGCTTTGATGTTAGTATCTCAACACCATGTTTCGATATAAAGATGCTCACCTAGTCGGAGCTTGCGAAGAACTCATCCCTAGATCACCGTCGTGACTTTGCCAACCTCCAACGTCATACCCACTAGCTACTGGCTGTTGGTATCCAGCAGTCGGCGCAACATTTACAGGTTGCACGTAGTAGTCTGGGATGATCTGGTACGGTTGAGGTGGGTAACATTGATACTGTGCGTAGTATGTGTTGATCTGGGATTGTGTGTATTGAGGTACTGATGAAGCTGGGTAAGACGTTTGATAGTTGTAGTTCCCTTGGTCAGAAGAAGAATACTGGTGTTATTAGTCAAAGCAAATGACGACGAACATATTAAGTTTGACTTACGCTGTATCCGGACATGGCGGGCGAAGGCGGTTGTTCCTGCTTCGGGCGTATCGTCTTCGTCTTCTTCGTACGGTTTGTAGTGGTGGAAGGGCGATAGACGGGCGCCACGGGCGAAGTGATGATGCGTAGCTTGTTTGGTCTGGATGCCTTTCTTGTACTAGAGACGGAAGTATGTCTTCGAGGACGCAGTTGAACTTGCTCAAGAGATCTATGAAACCAGTGTTAGAAGTTGTCGTTGATGATGCTGTTACTTTTGCTATCCTGGCATGCTTTCGAGTCTTATATGAAGCGAGCATGATAACTCGTTCCCTCATATCGGCAAAGACCTTTCACTGCCACCCCAGAGCTTATGCTATAGACCCTCAAGAACCGCATCGACTCACAGGTATTTCGGAGGGAATGAACCGTCCGGGCGCCCAAAGCCATCTCCCTGAGGGCCGTAGTATGCCAACATGGCGATGACGAAACAAAGTTAGAAGTGTCGTAAGGCGAGAAGTCGGATCAGGTTGTGGATTCGCTCGACAGGGCTTGACGATCGCGTCTTTGGTAAGCGTTGCGATCTCCTTGTACAAGGACCGCTACGCCAGAGGCCAAATGTGTGAATATAGAAGTCCAAGATTGCTGAGGTGGATGCGTAGGATGGCGAGGCGAAGCCAGTACCAGCTTGGTGGTACCCCACACAACTAATCGGTATAGGGCTGACGACAACTAGTGTCCGTGCTGTCACCGGAAAATGGAATTGTAGGGTCTGGTCGCGGCGCGGGTGAATCAGAAGGCCTAATGTTGTCGTATGCTGTGGGAGAATTGAGGCGGTGAAATAGTGGTCTAGGTGTAGAGGTAGGAAGCACAACGAGGACACTGGTAGATCTGTGTCGTCTTATGGCGATGCAGGGCGAGTACCCCTAGGCCCCGATCCAACTTTAATTGAACTGTACCATCTCTTTCATTTGTCGTTGTCATGGCTTGGCAAGGCAAATAGCTAGAATAGTCCAATGCGTACACGTTGGTGTTCTGATCTTGGTGTACCGGGATATATGATAGGCATGGTTCACCGATTAACACACATGCGGGTAGGTCGATGGGCCCCGTGTGACTGGATGTGCATGCGTGGCTCTTGTTCGCGTACTTTCGTTCCGCGGTGTAGGAACGAACCCCTGCTACGCTGCAGAACGTGGCCTGGAGCCTAGCGATCGGCCTGAGGTCTATCATGTTTGACATGGTCGTTTCGCGATACTCCAGGCTCTTCCAGCTGGCTCTCGGTAACGCACCCGACCGCTTGATCGCTCGAAACTATCAGAGCACTTGTGATGACAGCATGCCTTCGAAACGCATTGAGATCAAACATTGCTTGACCGCCCGTCTCCAAGTAGGTTAGCCGTCATCAAACGCCCATTTCGCGTCCTGTCTTCGTCTGTCTCTGCTGCTGCTGTAAGTGGGTCAATTAACCCGCAACCCGATGGACTTGGACCGGCGCACGAATGCCGTAAAATGATTGATGCAGTAACCGCTCAACTCAAAGTCATGCACGAGTTAGTGCTGCCGGGCGTAACGGGGCGTAACTGAAGCTTGAACGTCGCGGAAGGATTCCTCGCTTAGGCGGCCAGTGACATGCGACCAGCCTCCTCCTGCAGCCCTGTAGGCTCCACCGATTGGGGGCGGAACCCAGTGTAACGTCGTCTGGACCAATTGAGCACATTCCGCAGCCGTTAGCCACATCATGTCAGATTACGCCCGGCGCTCAGACCGCTACAACATCCTTGGACGGCCAAATTGTCGCGGGCGGAGGGCCTGCACTTGGCAGGTGAGCCTCAATAAGTGATATTTGATCCATGCATAATTGTCTCACCGTGACTTACACCTCGCGTGGTCGGTCGGGTGCCTGCGGGCGGACATTAATACGCACCAAAGATACCCTCATGGAAGCGATTCAAGATCCGAAGAGCAAAAGTTGTGTGCCCTCGACGGGACCCATTCCAGGACTACCTAATACTTAATCTTAATACAGAACTCAATTACCCCAAGCCGAGCATGCGGGTCGGTAAGAAGAAAGCAGCCGACTGCTCATAGCTCATCTTCCAAAAACTTGTAGGCAAATCGGAAGTCTGCTTTCCTACGGTTCATCCTGCAATAAGGTTAGCACTGTATGACGTGCAGAAATAGCACAGCGTGGCGCGAGTTTGTAATACGGCAGCCCCGCGTAAGGCTGGTGGACAGAATTAGGTGCTTACCATGTGCTCTCATAGTCAAAGAAGCGGTACGTCCCCTGCTCGTAGTCTTCCGTGATTGCTTTTGGTTCTTCGTGGCGTTGGAACCATGTTTGATATTGCTTGTGAAATCTCCAGCTCTGCGACTTGAGTGCCTTTGCAGCCAGGTATTGCTGGTACGTGCCTTGGCGGTAGTAGAAGGCGTAGAAGAGAGCGTCGGTCTCGATGCGGGAGTACAAGCGAGGATCATCGAAGATGGGTAACGGCTCTTGCGGGTAGTGCGCGGGCGTAAACGGATAGGGATTCTGGGGTCGGTAGTGGCGCGGCGCCTCAGTATCCGCAGAGTCCGGCGCGGTGGCCATGGATGCTGCTAGCATGTGCTCATTCGGAGGTTTCGAGGCAGAGGCGGATATGTCGTTCTTGGTCGCCTCAAATGTGTCCAGAAGGTCCTGTAGGCTCGACGGTAGGTGATACACTGATTCCTCTTCCTCCTCTTCTGCATGAGAATCACCGTTTGTTAGCGGCGGGGTGGCAGCCGATGACTCCTCCTCCTCTACAGGCTCGGGAGCTGGTGTCCTTCTGCTGGACTTGGAGGCGTCTTCCGACGAAACGGCGCGCGAAAGGGTCTCCTTCTCCGCAGCAGGCGTTACGGGTATACTTGCCGCGGGAGCTGGCGATGCTTGTGCGGATTCGGCTGGCTGCGCGCGCGAGGCCAGTTGGGAATGTGTTATTGCCGGGGAATTCGCTGCACTTGCCCGTGCGCCGCCAGGAATGAGGCCTGATTGTGCTGCGGCCCCTCCCGGTGGTGGTGGCAGAGGAGCAATGCCCACTCCATTCTTATCGCTCGCGGCTGCAGCAGCGGCGGCCGAGGCGTACTTCAAGGGCTCGCCCGGCGTCCTCGTCGGTATCGGCGCGGGCTTCATCGCGTTGGCCGTGGTATTTGAGACGCCAGGTAACGGCGTGTGCAATGTTGCTAGTGCTGGTAATGGCGACTTCATCTGTGTCGAGGGCCGTCGTGCCTGTTGTTGTACTGCCTCTGTCGCTTTCGGCTTGGGTGCTGGCGGTCGCACGTCCGACTCGGGTGTGTCGTCTGCTATCGACTGCGACTCGTGTGAAGACACATGGTCCAGGTTCTCCCCCAGGCCAAAGATGGCCTCCTCCTCTTGCAGGTTGAAGTCGTCGTATATTGTGTCGTCGTCCATGAACTCGGGGTCCTGATTGCTCTCGACGTAGTACTTGATACTGTCCTCAATCTCCTTGACCTGTTCCGTCTCGACATTGCCATTCTCCAGCGCTCGATGCAGCAGGTCCAGCTTGCCCTGATGCCATTTATTCCGCTCAACCGACTCTTCCAGCTCTGCCACGCGCTCTGCCTTTGAATTGTCCCCCTTCTTCGTCTTCTTGACGTTGGCATGTAATGTCTCGATCTCGGTCTCGATGGTCTCTATTTGGCGCTCCAGCTCCTCGTTCATCTGCTGCAGGAACTCGACCATCTCCATCTTCTCCTTGTCCTTGGGGTCGATTTTGGACGCTAATTGCAGGCCTTCCTTGGAGTATGCTTTCGTCTTCATCTCCTTTTCGACGGCCTTGAAGCGCTCCATTTGCTGTCACATGTCAGCGTCCCATCATGCCGGGAGGCGGCGGTCAGCCTACTGTCTCGATGAGCTTCCGGTGGTCGAGCAACGGCTTCTTGTCCTTGATCTCGGACATGGCGGCCCATGTCTTGATCTGGTCCCGCGAGCGCTGCAGCTTCTTGATCTCCTTCTTCAGCTGGTCCTCGAGCTTCTCCTTCTGCGAGGGGTTGCCCGTCTGCATGATCTTCTCATATATGTTCTCGAACGTCGCGACGCCTTCGGCGACTTTCTTGAAGCATTTGTCGATCTCCTGCTGGAGCTTGCGGGCGGCCATGGCGAGGGTCGAGCCTCGTCGTGAGGACTTTCGCGGTGGTTACGGCAATGATTGCGTCGCCGGGGGTGGCAGCGGCCGGGAGACAGTCGAAGCGCGCGAGTGAGGGCGTCCGACGGGGAATGGCGTGGATGTTTGTCGTGGGCTGAATGCGGAGGCGGACGTATCGCATAGGTAACGCGATGCCACAGGGCTGGCCTAGCGTCCTCGCCAAGAGTGCGGCCACTAGCCACCACGATTGGCCCCACGCGTCTGGTTTCATCTACGCGTTCCACCCTCTTCCAGCCCCGTCTCATAATTGTCGCATGTCGCAATTCCCATGCGTGACGTCGTTGCGCTGCTGCCCATATCACCGTGAGGCTATCGCACACTGAGCCACCCACGTTTCTCTCACCACGGCTGCTACCCCGCCATCATGAGGAGTACGGACCCCGCCTCCATGCACACGTAACCACGACTATACTAAGCGTGTCTAGCGGTGCTGCAGAGGGTCAAGTCGGCATCAGTCACGGTCGATGGCCAGTTGATCTCCTCGATTGGCAAGGGCTTGCTGGTCCTTGCTGCCGTCTCCAAAGACGACACGGAGAAGGATGTTGAGGCCATGGCTAGCAAGATACTCAAGGCCAAGCTCTGGGACGACGATTCCAAGGACCCGCCGGGCCGCGTATGAAGCCGATGCTTTTTCTCTCGGCTGAGACTGACATGCCAAGTGGAAATGCAACGTGACCGATATCCATGGCGAGGTTTTGTGTGGTATGTGTGAAACGCTTTCTGGGAATCATGGCTGTCTATGATAGTGCTTTTGCTGCGGAATCGTTGTGCTGAATGTCAACAGTCTCCCAATTCACGCTGCTGGCCTCTATGAAGAAGGGAAACAAGCCGGATTTCCACCAATCCGCAAACGGCGACCAAGCCAAGACACTATACCAAGCCTTCTTCAAGAAAGTCGGATCTCTCTATGAGTCCGACAAGGTCAAAGACGGACTCTTTGCCGCCATGATGGATGTTGCTTTGGTTAACGATGGGCCGGTAGGTTTGGATTATACCTGCCTAGATGGCGAGGTACAACCTGAGCATTACATTTCCTGAGTGTGTGCCGCTTTGCCTGCTAATGCTAATGGACATGGCTAGGTCACTATTCAAATCGATACCAACCCGCCGAAGACGGATGCTTCAACCTCGGGTGCTCCAAACGGAAGCAATCAGCAAACAGTCGAAGTTGATGACCGCAAGTAGCACGTATAGTACACATGCAGGCCTTGTACTAACCCCTCCTCAATTCGTAGTGGTCAACAACATGACCAAAATCACGCAAGAGTTCAAGATCCCAGTAGAGCGACTTGAGTAGATGTCAATACAATCAGCCGCCGTGTTCACGATTGCCGACTTGCTTGTACCGAAAACACAACTTGATACTTTACACCGCGGCTATGTCTCGAGATTGGAACGGGCCCGGGATATTATCATCGCTTCGCCAGGAGACACATACTGCCAAACAACAACACTGCACGCCGCCCAGCAGATACAACATCCATTCATACATGTCGCCTCACATCATGTCCATTTCCACTGCATGTACAAACGCTGCTTATGTCAGACATGCCGAACGTGCGCATGGGTTGCAACTCCAACCCGAGGATAGGGCTTGCCCCCGTGCCGATGCGCCACTGTCTTAACCGATATGCAGTTGGACTGAACCTTGCACATTACGCCCGGCAGCACGGTAATTAACTGGACCCGCGAATGACGGCGCGGCATGCAGTTGGATTGAGCACCCACGCTGTTTGAGGTAGGGTATGCGAAAGCTGTTAACTCGCCGGTAGATTGAAGAACTCTGTGCCAGTGACGGACCTATAGGAGAGTACACGGCTCTTTGTCGTCAGCACCATCTAAATTCGTCGATGGGTTTTTAAGCTACAGCTTTGCCCTTGGCCAAGTACGACGAGCCATGATCATGTCTCATCGACAAATGCTATCTCGCATGGATAAGTTGCTCGAAGATAGGCGCCTCTATCTTACCGCCAAGCTACCGTTGTAAGGCCTTCAGGTGACGCCTGCATGTCGATTGGTTGTTGGGCAGCTATCTCGACACCACCAAAGCGCTTATAATGTCCGGAAACACCTGAAACGCATCCATATCGAACTCGCTGGGACCTTTGCTGACAGTGACACTGACGTGTGACTGTATCCTACGCAACACACACCTCAAACGGACGTGTGGACTAGATTGCAGTGACAACCTATTCGAAGCTTGTCTGGCGCCTCGTCAACTCCACGTTTTGCTTCGCACCACAAGCTCCATTGCGGAAGTGGCAGTGTTGATTCTGAAAGAAGGACCCCTTCGACACGCATTCATGACAGTGGGCTGACTGACCCGCTACTTCCGGTGAAGAGACAAGGTTTATTCCTGCTTCTGCTTGGTAATACCTTCAACGCTTACCACGCCCATGAAGCTTCAGAATAGATCAGGCTTCGATGTGCCCACCACGTCAAGTATTCTGTCTGGTTTCTTCCCTTCGATAGTTGCACTTTCGACCTCTTTCACCACTCGTTCAAGCCCACGCAGCCGTTGGCTTTTCCTCCACGCCGCTTCTCGTGAGTTAAATGCAATTCAGCCTGAAGCTCGAAAATTCCTGATTCGACATGTCTCTTGTTGGTCGACTGCACAATTGGAAGCTATTGGACTTTGAGGGGCGCGTATCCCGTAACCGCTCGGAACGTTGGTCGGCCATGGTGGGTAAAGGGTATCGGAGTAAATCTTGCTGGCTTATAAAGTGTTCAAAGGGTAATTCTAGTCCTCAAAGCTGATTTCGAACGGCGGCCGCATTGCTCGAATGTCATCTCACGTTGGGAGCGCAGAATCCATCAACAGGCGCCGCTCGCGGAGGACACTCTCTTATATGCTTCGATCGTCTAATGTCGCATTCTCCGCGCAAGCCATGCAGCTGGATTATTACCCAATTAGGGTTGTTGATGCGAGGTTTGGCTTCATTCGATGCTCAACCCTGGTTTGCATCGGGAAAGCCAAAGGTCTCGGCTGAAGTCCACAGAAGTCGTTGCGTGTTATTGGTGAAACGGACCATCTTCATAAGTCTGCTCACCCAGACTCCAGCATATCCGCATACAAATTGAGAGAGCTTCCAATAACATCCACGATAGCCCAAGTTTGAGATCCTTTGAAGATCATCGCCCAGACCCTGAGCACCCCCGCGCTGAGATGTCGTGTAAAGTTGGGCGAGTCGGGCGTAATATCGGCGGGTACGGCAAACTCGGTCTCATCCAACATGCTTTTCACGATCGCAATGATTCTGTGCTCATCTTCTGTGATGGGCGGGTCTGCTTCTAGTACTGACAGTGCTTCGAGCCACTTACTCATGAGGTAGGCGCACTCGAGCGTGCACAACGAATGTTGAATGCTCCAGATGAACGATTGTGTCTTTGCCACGAGACGATAGCCGATCTTGATGGGTATAGAGAGTGCATGAGCTGAGTGGAGCACAGCTCTTGTAATCTTTGGCGAGCGCCTGATCGTAGGCCCGGCGCGGAAGGCATTGGCAATCAGCACAGGATCGCGCGTCTCTAAAGCTCGACCTGCGGTATCCACGTATAGTCGTATGTATGCCAATCGAAGCAAGGCAGTTGAGTTGAAAGCGACAGGACCGTTCTGCGACATCGGGTCGAGCGATGATTCAGGATTTTGTCGCCATCCGGTCTGCCAGTTTCGCAGAGCGTTCTCGAGCGACGCGACGTCTTCTGCGCTCAGATCACCGGGTCCTTCAAAACGACATCGTGCCACTTGTCGGAGGAAGAAAACATGCTGTATCAGGGCGTGTATCAACGCGTAGTTTCCAGACGACGAGTTGACCTCGGTGACGTCGCGGCCTTGCTTTGTAAACAGACGTTTCAATGCATCCTGGAACAGGACCTCAGGCGCACTCTTCTTCCTCGCTTCCCTCCATAAAGCCTCTGTAGGAGCCTTGAATTCCGCGGCACTGCATGGCAAGGGCAACTTGACCTCGCTCGTTAGCATGAATGGAGGAATGTTGTAGACAATGCAATGGAGGTTGGAAAAGCCATAGACGATGAACTTGGTCCTTTTGATCGTTTCGCGCCGAATCCAGTCCGACCATGAGATGGTCTCATGGAGAGGATCGGTTTCGAGTCCGTCATCCCGAATGAGGGTAGCTAATATGCTTTGGATTGCTAACGCCTCTCTGAGAATCTCTTTGTGTTTTGCCCAAGTACACAGTGCCATGAGCAAGAGTAGTGCCTGAGCGGTCTGCATGAGATCTTCGCCAAGTACAGGAACATCAGCCTGGGAAGGTAGGCCCAGCGGTCCTGAGATGGAACCCCTACGTTGAGGGCTACGAGTGTCGCTTGAATGATTGTGGGGCGACGAGTGATCCGACTCAGAATGATGCTGGAGCTGCACCAGGCGCGTATCCCGTTTCCTGATACGATGTGTCGCAATTGCTTTGCTTACATTGAACAGCTCGACACCCTTTTCGCCCTCGAAAGTGTATTGCGCACCAATAGCCGCCAATGCTAGGAGTAGCTCTATCGAACACGTCTCCACGGACATTGTGGGTATGTGGAGGAAAGGCATGTGCTCGTGAAATCCGTTGATATACGCAGCAATATATCTGCACAGTGCTAATCGAGTTGGTAGAACGAAGTCGCTGGGTATGACCATGGAGAAGGGCTGGAGCATCTCGAGAATTTCCTGCCGATCCTCGTGTGAAATATCTGCGAATGATCGTTTCCGAGCGGATTGATCGTCTGGCTGCAAGGAAGGAAAACGAGAGCCGAAGCGTGAAAGCGACGGCGGCTCTTCCAATTGGGCTGGTCTCCAACCATGTGTAGGCGCTGTTGTTCCCTCTGGCTCGGTCGTGATTTGTTGACCGTAGCCAAATGAGTCTGGAGAGAAGAACGGCATGGGCTGTTCGGTGTTGATCAGGGACGCAAAGTGGTACGAATTTAGTGGTTCACTGTCAAGGAATGAA